TCACCGCAACCTCCACCTCCTGGGTTCAGGCAATTCTCCTCCCTCAGCCTCCTGAGTAGCTGGGATTACAGGCACGCACCACCATGCCCAGCTAATTGTGCTTTATTACTTTAAAATTCATCTTTTTTAAAACCAAGAGACTTATGCAAAATTCCGCTAGGATTCAAAAACAGCCTCTTATTTTTCCAGACCATGGGTGTGGGCAGCATTCAAGCTGCATTTTCTTTACTTATGTATGTCCTGTTTGGATGGAGACATAACAGGAGCTCCCTCAGTCACTGTGCACCGGAAAGGAAAGTGAAGAGAAGCACAGGGAAGCCACTTATACCATCTTGCAGCTGCTGAACCAATGTATTTTTGTATTTTTTAGTAGAGACGGGGTTTCACCATGTTGGCCAGGATCTCGATCTCTTGACCTCGTGATCCACCCACCTCGGCCTCCCAAAGTACTGGATTACAGGTGTGAGCCACCATGCCTGGCCTCAATTATCAATATTTAGTGGCTCACAAGATTGATCCAGGAATAACAGAGCTGATAAAACCCAGCAAAATAAACTTAATTCAAGTGCCGAGGCATACCAAGGGCCACCACAGTGCCTCTGAACACCATGGACGCAGTGGTCACTATTCTTGTTCCAATGAAGATGACTGAGTACAGGATGGGGGACTGCAGGGACAAAGGACAGTGCCAGCTCAGAGCTAGGCATTTCCACCAGGAACTTACAGCCACACCTGTTGTCTCTAGCTAGAAAAAAATTTTTAGTAAAGTCATTTTGTTGTTTTAATTCCAGAAATGACTACATTGGCAAACAGAACTTTTTTATTATTGTTGTTACCGAGGCAGAGTTTCACCGTGCTGTCCAGGCTGGAGTGCAGTGCTGTGATCTCAGCTCACTGCAGCCTCTGCCTCTCAGCTTCAAGCCATTCTCCTGCTTCAGCCTCCAGAGGGAAGGGATTACAGCTGGGATTGCAGGCATGTGCCACCACAACTGGCTAATTTTTTGTACTTTTTTTTGTGACAGGGTTTCACCATGTTGGCTAGGATGGTCTTGAACTCCTGACCTCAGGTGATCTGAAAGCCTCAGCCTCCTAAAGTGCTGGGATTACAGACATGAGCCAGCACACCCAGCCTAAAACTTACTTTTTAACAAAAAACTTGATTTTATCACTCCCATGGACAATCCTTTCAAGTCATCGAATTCCAAACCAGGTAGGACCTCAAACTCTGGGTTTGATTCAAACACAGGATATGGTACTTTTACTGCCTCAGTAAGTCCAAGAGCTTAAGCAGAAAGTGCAGACGAACATAATCTGTGGAAGATAAAATTTGGCACAGACATTCTTTTATCTGTATCTGCATTCTCAAGTACACTATGGACAAGTTCCCTACAATCAAACAATATCCACTTCATATTGAAGGCATTTTGCTTAGGATATTGGTAAAATCCGAAGAAGAAGCCTAAAAAATAAGTACTTTTAGGAGAAACTTTTTAATACTTTCTGGCTTATTGTCTGTTTGTTTTTGAGACGGAGTCTCGCTCTGTCACCCAGGTTGGAGTGCAGAGGTGCGATCTCGGCACACTGCAATTTCCATCTCACAGGTCCAAGTGATTTTCCTGCCTCAGCCTCCAGAGTAGCTGGGACTACAGAAATGTGCTACTACACCCAGCCACTTTTTTGCGTTTTTGGATAGATATGGGCTTTCACCATGTTAGCCAGGATGGTAACAATCTCCTGACCTTGTGATCCATCCGCCTCAGCCTCCCAAAGTATTGGGAGAAACAGGAAATGTTAACACCTTGTATTGAGATAAAGGACCCAGCGAGCCTCATGTTTTCTATAAGCAGTCCCTCCCTGTTACACACTTGAATAAGGTGAAGATTAAGATAATAAAAGCCTCCCCAGCTAAGTCTGTTTACCCCACATTCCTTTGTCTCTACTCTCTTTACTCAAACTTTGTGCTAGATGGTCCTCTTGGGGGAGGCTGAAAAAGAATTACGTGTTAATGGTGTTTATTCTGGGCCCCAGAACCAAAAATTTTTATCACTCGTAAAATCACTCTTTTAACCATGTTAATTATCCACAAGCATGTTGACTTAACACCTGTGTTATTACCTCTGTACTGACTAAATGGGAGAAGGAACAAGGAGTTGTAGTCAATTAGCTGCAATCACCCTCTAAAAACAGCTGAGGACCCCCAGCCCAACTTCACACTGCATTCTGTATGTAACAGCGTATTTCATTCATCCATTGCTGAGTCAAGATCTGCAGGACAGACCTCCACAAGTAGCGATCAATGTCGCAGAGCAGCCTGGAGGCCCTTGATAAGATGACTTCTGAGCCACAATCCAAAGCAGAGAGTGAGCCATACAGACACTAGGGAAGAATGTCCCAGGCAGAGGGAACAGCAAGGCTCAGAGACAGGACAGGGTCAAGCCTGCCTGGCGTGCTAAACGAAACACCATGAGCTCAGTGTTTACAAAGAGGAGTAAGAGCAGGACAGCAGCAGGAAGCACAGTGAGACAGACAGCAGGGGGCCAGATCATGTAGAAAACAAAGCCAGTGAAGAGTTTGAACAGAGGGGTAAACATGATCTTTTTTTTTTTTTTTGAGACGGAGTTTCGCTCTTGTTACCCAGGCTGGAGTGCAATGGCGTGATCTTGGCTCACTGCAACCTCCGCCTCCTGGGTTCAGGCAATTCTCCTGCCTCAGCCTCCTGAGTAGCTGGGATTACAGGCATGCGCCACCATGCCCAACTAATTTTTTTTGCATTTTTAGTAGAGACGGGGTTTCACCATGTTGACCAGGATGGTCTTGATCTCTTGACCTCGTGATCCACCCACCTCGGCCTCCCAAAGTGCTGGGATTAAAGGCGTGAGCCACCGTGCCTGGCCCGGTAAACATGATCTTAATTCCACTGTAAAAGAATTGTTCTAGCTGTTGTATTGAGAGTAGACTGGCTGGGTGCAGTGGCTCACTCCTGTAATCCCGACACATTAGAAGGCCAAGGCAGGCAGATCACTTAAGGACCGGAGTTCAAGACCAGCCTGGCCACTATGGTGAAAACCTGTTTCTAATAAAAAAAGCACCAAAAATTAGCAGGGCATGGTGGCTCATGCCTGTATCCCAGCTACTAGGGAGGCTGAGGCAGAAGAATCTCTTGAACCCGGGAGATGGAAGTTGCAGTGATCCGAGATTGCAGCACTGTGCTCCAGCCTTGGTGACACAGCAAGATTCCACTTAAAAAAAAAAGAGAGAGAGAAAGAGAGTAGACTGAAGGAAGTAAGCACGGAAAAAAGAAAACCAGTTAGGAGACTACAGAGATAATCGAGGTGAGAGATGATGGCAGATGAATTCAGGGTGGCAGCAGTGAGGCATGAAGAGGGACAGAGTCTGGGATATATTCTGAAGTTGAATCAACAGGACACTGGAAGACAGGATCATCTTGGAAAATCTTGGAACTACTGTAGAATCCAATGAAGCTAAATGGCACTAAATTCCAACATCCACTGTGAAATCATGGGAACAGGGGTTTGTTCATCTCAGCTACCTAGTGTCTCACCCAGTACTCGGCACATAATGGGGATATAAAAAGTCTTCAATTCTTAAATGAATAAATGTGGAACTGAATATATTACAAAGCCAAAAGACCTGCAGTTTGATAGGTCATTAGGAGGTCAAAAAGCATCTGGTACTAAACATATTTTACTAACAGTGGGTCCCCCTCCTCTGAGTGAATCTATTTCTTTTTTTTCTTTTTAGAGACAAAGTTTCTCTCTGTCACCCAGACTGGCAGTGGCTCAATGTCAGTTCACTGCAACCTCTGCCTCCCAGGCACAAGCAATTATCATGCCTCAGCCTCCCGAGTAGCTGGGACTACAGGCACTCACCACCATGCCCAGGTAATTTTTTTTCTTTTTTTGCATTTTAGTAGAGATGGGGTTTCACCATGTTGCCAAGGGGGGTCTCAAACTCCTAAGCTCAAACAATCCACCCACCTTGGCCTCCCAAAGTGCTAGGATTGCAGGCATGAGCCACAATGCTCAGCCTGAATCTATTTCTTTCTATTTAAAAAATTCCCTTTATAAGCTGGGCACAGTGGCTCATGCCTGTAATCCCAGCACTCTGGGAGGCGGGGCGGGTGGATCCCAAGGTCAGGAGTTCGAGACTAGCCTGGCCAAGATGGTGAAACCCTGTCTCTACTAAAGGTATAAAAATTAGCTGGGCGTGGTGGCACGTGCCTGTAGTCCCAGCTACTCGGGAGGCTGAGGCAGGAGAATCGCTTGAACCCAGGAGGCGGAGGTTGCAGTGAGCCGAGATTGTGCCATTGCACTCCAGCCTGGGTGCCAGAGTGAGACTCCATCTCAAAACACCACCACCACCAACAACAAAACTCTTTCCTTTAAAACAATTTCAAGGAGATGTTAAGAAGAAAAAAAGAGAAAAAAATTCCCTTTATTTCATGGTAGTAAGATATGAATGTGATAAACAACCTCATATAATATAGCTGAGAATCTGAACAACTAGGCAATTTCCCTGAGACGCTGGATGTAGATAGCAAACCTCATACCACCTCAGCAACTCCCATCTGAAATACTGGGATAAATGTTACACAAGTAGTAAGTTCATGTTCTTATAAATAGTGAATCATGAACTAGGCATGGTGATTAACACCTGTAATCCCAACACTTTGGGAGGCCAAGGCAGGCAGATCACCTGAGGTCAGGAGTTTGAGACCAGCGTTGGCCAACATGGTAAAACCGCATCTCTACTAAAAATACAAAAACTAGCCAGGTATGGTGGTGGGCACCTGTAGTTCTAGCCATCTGGGAGGCTGAGGCAGGAAAATCACTTGAACCCGGGTGGCAGAGGTTGCAGTGAGCCAAGATGATGCCACTGCACTCCAGCCTGGGCAACATAGTGAGATTCTGTCTCAAAAATAAAATAAAATAAATAAAATAAGAAATAAAGACATGTAGATAGAATAGAATGTCACTTACGTAAACAGGTGTTCAGGGCTGGTGTGGAGGAGTTGTAGATGAGGAGGAAAGTTGACTTGGAGACAATGGAGGCCCACTGGAGTTACTGGGTGAGGAAAGGAGGGAAAGAGAAAAAGGAAAAGGGTAAGGGGAGTGGAAGACTGGCCTCAGTGTGGAGGTCACCTCTGATTGCCGACAAAGGCAGTGGAAATGTTGGGGAAGGTCTGAAAACATTGCTAAAGGTTGGTGGTTTCAAAAATCTTCTAACATTTTCTTTATTTTAAAAGAAAAAGCATCTCAAGGGTTTAGTATGAGTTGTTTTTTTCCCATGGATTTCAGAGTAAGAGATCCATTCAGCCACAGGAAAGAACTCCAGTGTGAACCCCATTTGAATACTACCATCAGACATGAGACATCAAACTCTCCTCCTCTGAGGTCAAACGCATCTATTCACTTGCAGCTTGGCCTCCTCTTCTGCTCACCCTCACCTCCTTTTCTGGCATCTGCTCCTCCCATGCAGGACTTCACACCCTCCTCACAGAGTGAGATGCCACCTCCCACTCTTCAAGGCTTGATCACATCCCTGGCTCCACGACATTCTCACTTGTGACAGCTACATTTCATCAAGCTGAGGATACACTGAACCTGTGGCGAGTTTAAGCAGACAATTCTGATGGCCACAAAATTCTTTTGACATGTGGTCTGTGACATGAATTGTTTTTGTCCAAAGACAAATGCACACCCACGGGCAGGCCAAGTAAGGTTATGCTAGAATGAGGAACCACCAAGCACCTTTAATTCCTTCCAAGATCTTTTATGAATGGGACAAAATCAAGTGCTGTTAGTGATGGCATAAGTGGAGATTCTCCTTCTGGTGACAGCTGCTGCACTCTGGTGACGATGGCAGGCCTGGGACTGCTCCAGCACCCAATTCTGTCAGTGTCTTCTATGGCACTGACATATTCTTTATATCATACGGCCTTCACATTCTCAGTTTCTGCAATCATTGTCACATCTGCCCATAAAAAAAGTGGTGACCGCACTCATCACAACCTTGAATTTCAGCTTCGTCATTAGAAATGAAGGTTTATACAGGTTTCATCACGTTCAAACTCATCCACACTGAAGCTCCACCTACAGGAATATTTTTCTTTCTCTATGACTTCCCTTAGCAAAAAACGTGTAACTCCCAATCTTCAATTCTTTACCAATACCTTGATTCTTTGGCTAAATCAAGAGCATGATGAGGGCTGGGTGCTGTGGCTCACACCTGTAATCCCAGTACTTCAGAAGGCCAAGGCGTGTAAATCACAAAGTCAGGAGTTTGAGACCAGCCTGGTCAACATAATGAAACCCCGTCTCTTCTAAAAATACAAAAATTAGCCAGGCATGGTGGTGTGCACCTGTAATCCTAGCTACTCGGGAGGCTGAGGCAGGAGAACTGCTTCAACCCAGAAGGCAAAGGTTGTGGTGAGCCAAAATCATGCTACTGCACTCCAGCCGGGGTGACAAAGCGAGACTCCAGCTCAAAAAAAAAAAGCATGCTGAGGAGACTAACTTGTAAGTTAAATATTGAGTTTTGTCTTCTCCAGTGCAGGACTACTGGACAAAGATAATTTTCTTACTCTACTACAGAATTTCTCAACCACTTTCCAAGCCATAATCTACACAAAATCTCTTTGGCACACTGACTGACCTTCACTAATTGCCCCAAGGTACTGTGAGAGCCGAAGCGGCAGTATTTTAGGACACACCCTTAACCCAATTGGAGACCATTTATTCATCTGAGTATTCATGAAAATGATTAACCGTACAAATTCGTAAACACCTAATATACACACAAAATTCATACTTGATTCCCAACACTTATTTTTTGAAAATGTAAAAGCTTACACTAAATGGCCATTTTATCGGTTCTTGGCAACTTAAGTTCCTAAGGTGGCAGATGATCTACAAACTGTGGTCACTTACTCTGACAATGCACAATGGCAAACAAAAAGATGGGAATGAAAGAAAGGCACGCTTAGAGCGCTAATAAAATAGGCCAAGCACGGTGGCTCACACCTGTAATCTCAGCACTTTGGGAGGCTCAGGCAGAAGGATCACCTGAGCCCAGGAGTTTGAGACCAGCCTGGCCAGTATGGGGAAACCTCATCTCTACACAAAATATAAATCTTAGCCAGGCACGGTGCCGCATGCCTGTAATCCCTGTTACTCAGGAGGCTGAGGCAGGAGAATTGCTTGAGCCTGGTTTCAGTGAGCCAAGATCACACCACTGCACTCCAGCCTGGGTGACACAGTGAGCCTCTGTATGAAAAAAAGGAAGAAAAAAAAAAAAGCTTGAGTTATGCCTACACTGCATCTGTCCATATTGATATATCAAGGAGTGCCTGTATTGAGCTTCTGCAAAAGGTTTTTTGGGAAGGTGAAGGAAGTAGTAGTTCTATCACTTTAAAAGATTATTTTTTAAAAACTTAAAGATTAATCTGTGCTTTTAAAAAGGATTTACAACTATTTTACCTGTTTTATTTGTTCTTGGCCAAGTAACTTCAGTTGTACTGTAAGAAATTCTGATCTGTAAAAACATAGCTGATATTAGTATTATAATAAAGCATTTAGAAGAAATTTACAGGCCTTTCTCACACAGCTATGCACTGCTAATTATTATTATTATTTGAGATGGACTCTCATTCTGTCGCTCAGGCTGGACTGCAATGGCATGATCTCAACTCACTGCAACCTCTGCCTCCCAGGTTCAAGCAATTCTCATGCCTCAGCTTCCCGAATAGCTAGGACCACAAGTGCATGCCACCACACTCGGCTAATTTTTTTATTTTTAGTAGATGTGGAGTTTTGCCAGTTGGCCAGGCTGGTCTCAAACTCCTGACCTCAGGTGATCCACCCGCCTCAGCCTCCCAAAGTGCTGGTATTATAAGCATGAGCCACTGTGCCCAGCCAATTTTTAAGCATTCTGCCTACATTTTACAGTGGAAAAAAAAAAAAATTCATTTTGGTGACTTGAATTTTTTTTTTTTTTTTTGAGACAGAGTTTTGCTGTTGTTACCCAGGCTGGAGTGCAATGGCATGATATCGGCTCACTGCAACCTCTGCCTTCTGGGTTCAAGCAATTCTCCTGCCTCAGCCTCCTGAGTAGCTGGGACTACAGGTGTGCACCACCATGCCCAGCTAATTTTTGTATTTTTAGTAGAGACAGGGTTTCACCTTGTCGACCAGGATGGTCTCAATCTCTTGACCTTGTGATCTACCTGCCTCGGCCTCCCAAAGTACTGGGATTATAGGTGTGAGCCACTGCGCCCGGCCGACTTGAATTTTTAAAATAGCAACTTTCAGACATTCAGGTGAGATCACCTGGATGTCTCCAAAGTCATCCTTTTTATAAGATAAATATGAAAAAGTCACTTTTCCCCCAAACCAGCTCAATTCTGTTTCTGAATCTCAGATGAACTGTCCCACAGCACAGTAAGAAGCAACTTGGTGTCATCTTAAACCTTTCCTCTTCATTATAACTCAGCCCCAACGAGTAGCTGAGATTACAGGTGTCTGCCACCATGCCTGGCTAATTTTGGTATTTTTTTTAGTAGAGACAGGGCTTAACCATGTTGGCCAGGTTGATCACGAACTCCTGACCTCAGGTGATCCACCTACCTCAGCCTCCCAAAATGCTAGGATTACAGGCATGAGCCACTGCACCCAGCCATAAATACTGTTTGGAAGCAGCCTTTTGCTACTATCTGCTCATGACTGTAATAATCCTCCTCCATTGGCTGCTGCACTCTAGCGCATTTCAGGCTACACTTCCATCTGCACTGCAACCACGGGACCTTGTGAGCATGCTATTTTAAAAAGAAACAACTTTCCACAAAGAATTCACAGAATAAGAAATAAAAATAGTAAGCAGAGGCTGATTTAGATTAAAAGAGGCATAACAACCAAAGTTAGTACATGAAGACTGTTTGGGTACAGATTTAAAGCAAATTTTTTTCAGATAACGAGAAATGAGATGTTTTTCATATAAGAGTGAGGAAACTTGGCCGGGCGTGGTAGCTCACGTCTGTAATCCCAGCACTTTGGGAGGCCCAGGCAGGTGGATCACGAGGTCAAGAGATCAAGACCATCCTGGTCAACATGGTGAAACCCCGTCTCTACTAAAAACACAAAAGTTAGCTGGGCATGGTGGTATGCGCCTGTAGTCCCAGCTACTTAGGAGGCTGAGGTAGGAGAATTGCTTGAACCCAGAAGGCGGAGGTTGTGGTGAGCCGAGATCACACCATTGCACTCCAGTCTGGGTAACAAGAGCAAAACTCCGTCTCAAAAAAAAAAAAAAAGAGTGAGAAAACTTGACTACATATGAGCTGACACCAAAAAATCATTGTTAATTTTGTCAGATGTGATGAGATAATGGCTGTGTAAGAAAATGTTAATACCATTTGGGGATGCACGCTGAACAGATAAAATAACATGGGGACTGCAATACACTAAGAAAATGTTAATCCCCTCTGGGGATGCACGCTGAACAGATAAAATAACATGGGGACTGCAATACACTTTACAATATTCCTGCAAAGGGAGGTAAAGGAATAGAAGAACAAAATGTGGGACAATGGGGGCAATAGGGGAGGGACAGTGGGGGGGGAGTTGGGGAGAGATAGCATGGGGAGAGATGCCAGATATAGGTGAAGGGGAAGAAGGCAGCAAATCACACTGCCACGTGTGTACCTATGCAACGATCTTGCATGTTCTTCACATGTACCCCAAAATCTAATATGCAATAAAAAAAATGTGGGACAATATTAATGATCAGAGAAATCGAGGAACGGGTATTTCAGTGTTCACTGTACTATTTTCTCTACTTTTGAGTAGGTATAAAAACTGTAATTTATAAGTTAAAAAAAAAAACGCCAGGAGCAGTGGCTCATGTCTGTAATCCCAGCACTCTGAGAGGCCGAGGCAGGTGGATCACATGGTCAGAGGTCAAGCCCAGCCAGGCCAACATGGTGAAGCCCTGTCTCTACGAAAAATACAAAAAAAAAAAAAAAATTAGCCAGATGTGGAGTCAGGCACTTGTAGTCCCAGCTACTCAGGAGCCTGAGGCAAGAGAATCGCTTGAACCCAGGAGGCAGAGGCTGCAGTGAGCCAAGATCATGCCACTGCACTGCAGCCTGGGAAACAGAGTGAGAATCTGTCTCAAAAAAAAAAAAAAAAAAAAAGTAAAAATTAATTTACTAATCTCTGCTCTGAAGCCACATCCAAACAGAACTCTAAAAAGAAAGATTCAAGAAATTTACATGGTGCTATTTATATACAGGTCTCCCTTACACCTCTGTGCATACATTTAAATACTTTGCCACCTGATGGTTGGGAGTGGTTCAAAGCTGGGCATGGTATCACATGCCTGTAGCTCCAGCCACTTAGGAGACTGAGGCAAGAGGATAACTTGAGCTCAGGAGCTGTAGTCTAGCCCACAAAACCTAACAAGATCCTGTTTCTTTAAATAAAAAAGGGGAGACGTCAGGGAGCTCACTGATGAATTACTTTGGTGACATCGACGACTGCTGTCGAAACATACCATAAAATCCAAAATTACATCTACTGCCAGATTTTTCTCTTTACTTCTGGACTCGTTTATCCAACTGCCTCCTCCACCTCCACACCTCACCTTGAATGTCAAGTTGAAACGAATTGATTACTTTGTTCTTAGATTGGCTTTCCCCTAACATCTAAAGACTTGTCTTAAATTCTTACTTTATGTTATTAGCACCAAATCTGAACGGGTCTAGTATAGGAGCTCTTTGAGATAAGAAACACATGTGTTTTTGAGAAACCACAAATGAAACAATTACCATAGCTGTAAAAAAAAAAAAAAATATATGCCCATAAACAAATAACAGTAAAAACTTAGAGGTTTTCAGGAAAACTGGAGAATGATGTTAAATAAAATCATTCTGTTAATTCAACAAGAAAATATATAAACCTAATTCTAACAAACTTTCTATAAAATAAAAAAGAACCAATTGTCAGAGTTGAGAGTAAAAAGTGGAAGTTTTACAAAGAGATGAAGCCAATTGCAGAATGTACTCATCACACATCATCAAGGCTGCCCAAATCACACCCATCCCTCTTATTCCACTTAATATCACCTAAGTTGAAGACCAGCCTGGCCAACACGGAAAAATCCCATCTCTACTAATAATATGAAAATTACCCTGGCATGGTGGCAGGCAACTGTGAGGCAGGAGAACTGCTTGAAGCCAGGAGACAGTGAGCCAGAATCACACCATTCCACTCTAACCTGGGCAACAAGAATGAAAACTCCATCTCAAGAAAAAGAAAACAAATTCCTTTGGGAAGTCCTTCTACATTCACATCTCAACATGAGACTGGACAAAAGGGTATGGGATCATCACCAGACCTTTGGCTTTTACAGCTTGACCTATAAGGACAAAAGAAAAAGGGATACCATTTAAACACAATTTGTAGGTAAGGATAATTGAATCTGTATTGCTCTTTAAGAATACTGAATCTAGGGCCGGGCGCGGTGGCTCATGCCTGTAATCACAGCACTTTGTCATGAGGTCAAGAGATCGAGAGCATCCTGGTCACCATGGTGAAACCCCGTCTCTACTCAAAATACAAAAAATTAGCTGGGCATGGTGGTGCGTGCCTGTAATCCCAGCTACTCGGGAGGCTGAGGGAGGAGAATTGCCTGAACCCAGGAGGCGGAGATTGCGGTGAGCTGAGATCGCGCCATTGCACTCCAGCCTGGGTAACAAGAGCAAAAGTCCATCTCAAAAAAAAAAAAAAAAACAACAAAAATTAGCTGGGCATGGTGGTGCGTGCCTGTAATCCTAGCTACTTAGGAGGCTGAGGCAGGAGAATTGCCTGAACCCAGGAGGCGGAGTTTGTGGTGAGCCGAGGTCGCGCCATTGCACTCCAGCCTGAGTAACAAGAGCGAAACTCTTTCTTAAAAAAAAAAAAGAAAAAGAAAAATAGAATACTGAATCTATATTTTTCTTTAACTCTTTTTTTTTTTTTGAAATGGAGTTTTGCTCTTGTAGCCCAGGCTGGAGCGCAGTGGCGCAATCTCGACTCACTACAAGTTCTGCTTCCCAGGTTCAAGTGATTCTTCTGCCTCAGCCTCCTGAGTAGTTGGTATTACAGGTGCCTGTCACCACACCCAGCTAATTTTTGTACTTTCAGTAAAGATGGGGTTTCTCCATTTTGGCCGGGCTGGTTTCAAACTCCTGACCTCAGGTGATCCACCCACCTCTGCCTCCCAAAGTGTTGGGATTACAGGCGTGAGCCACTGCACCCGGCCTTCTCTTTAACTTTTGTAATTTGATCTTTACTGCTATGATTGTAATTGAGTCCAAAGAAAACTAGTATGAGTAAAATGAAAACACCAAAAACGCTAATATTCTGTTTATCAAAGTCAGCTGTAAAACATCCCATTACAGCCGAGTGCAGTGTCTCACACCTATGGGAGCACTTTGGGAGGCCAACACAGGTGAATCACCTGAGGTCAGGAGTTCAAGACTAGCCTGGCTGACATGGGGAAACCCCAACTTTACTAAAAATGCAAAAAGTAGTCAGGCATGGTAGCACATGCCTGGTGATCCCAGCAACTCAAGACATACTCTCCCTCTCACCAAGTTGGAATCCCTAGCTACTTTTCAGAAGAGCAGAGTGTGTACCCCAATCCCAGCTTAGTATGGTTCACATCTGCATTTAACTCATAAAACCTGGCTACTCCCCATGCCCTGGAGAAAAAAAAAAGGTCTCTCTGTGGTGGGTATCATTCAGGATGGGACTGTTCCCATTCAGGATGGGCCTGCCCTGACCCTATGAGAAGGAAGCCCAGTTTCCCACCAGGTTGGCAGGGCTAGGAAAAGGAACGTGTTATAGTAGCCCCAAGACCAAAAAGAGGCAGCAGAGAGAGTAGGACAGCACTCCTAAGGAACTTATGCTGCTGCCTGAGTGAGGTGAGGAAAGAGTGCACCTCAGTGGCATGGGGGGTCAGAGAGGTGAGGTTCCAGGCTGGCTTTCCTCCTCATTTCCTGCCATGTTCCTCTGATCCCCTCCAGGCAAGCAGTTGCCTCTGGAGCCTGTACCCAAACGCAGCCCCCGATGGCCATGGCCCCAGGAGCGGCGCAGCAGGGAAGAGTCCCGGACAGAGGAGAGGCAGGCCAGGAAACAGTGGCCTCTGACTCCAGGAGGGGGGCCCTGCTCATGGATCCTGCTTTCTGGCCTCTTCTCCCTTACTCCTGGGCTGATCACCTGGGGAAGAACTGAGGCAAGGTTTCTCACCCTCAGGTCTGAGGGGTTCAATTACCAAGCCCTTAGGGAGGTGTGAGCCCCCTGAAATGATGCAAGGTTTTGTGTGAAGAGTGTGCACATGCATTTCTGGGAAAATGGTCCACAGCTCTCATTTTTGTCAGGCTCCATATTCAAAAAAGGTTAGAACTCTTGCTACAGAGCTGTGGAAGCAGCTAGGTGAGGGACCTGCCAAGGGTGCTCTGGGGACTAGCTGGACACTCCTGAGCCCACTGTCCCCTAGGTAGGCTGTGCTGCTTGGTATTTGCAGAGGTAACAGGGTGGGGCGTGCAGGGACTGTGAAATTGCCCTGAGATGACTCACAGGCCTCAGCTGGGACGTGAGGCGTACATCTGCAGCATCCTCCATCCCTAGAGCCATGGGGCCAGGAGAACTAGCCCTTGCAGTAAGTGAAAAGCCTATTATTGACTCCCTCCCTGGCCATGCAGACAGTGAACCAAGGGCACTCATATCAAGTAAATGTCTTGGTCTCTGTGACCGAGGTGACCAGTAGGCATTCCCAGGTGCAGGGAACCTCCTGACACTAAGTTATGCACCTGGTCACCTGAGGAAAGAGAAAGGACTATCCGAGGGGATGGGGCTGAGCTGGGTGTGGAGTAGTCCTTGTGGGTCTCGGTGAGTGGGAGGGGGAGCAGCATGACCCAGGCCTCGTGGCAAAAGGACAACCAGGAGACAGTCTGGAAAAAGTGCTGAACCCATGAGGGTTCAAGGCTGGCCAGAGAGGAAGGTGGGGTCGACTGGGAAGTTCCAAGGTCTGAAGATGGGCCCTGGAAGGCAGAAACCAGTTACGGTGGGCAGTCACCCGCACCCTGGGGGCCAGATGCATCCTTAGCCCAGAGCAAACACCAAGATTTCTGGCACTGGGTGTGACCTCAGTTTGGGGAGAAGCCCCAAGCCCCACCAGGACCACCTGCCCCTCAGACTACTTCAGATAATGAGCCGAAGCCAGGGGCAGGAAGCTAGACTGATGCCTACGGCGATCCCAACAAAGTCCCTGGTTCTCCCCAGCTATGGGGCTGAAGGGGAATTACAGCCCAAACCCCCAGATGCTGGCTCTGAAACTAACCCTGAGCTCTCAGTGCCCGTAGGGAGATACAATCAGCACGCTTTCCAGATAGAGAAATGGGCTCAGAGAAGTGCAAGAGCCTTAACCCATTCCCCAGACCAGGGTCCAGGCCCAGAGTATTCTTTTGTCACTGTGTCCACAGGGCAGCAGGTGCTCTGATGTATCCATCTGAGCCTGGTGACTTTCTCCAACTTTGGAAGCCCAGGAGCATGACCCATGTCCACAGATGTACCTGGCATGAAGCACGCCCAGAGGCAGATGAGTTTTGCCTCCTCCACTGGATTGTGAGAGCCTCGAAGGGGACAAGGATCTGCATGAGAAAGCCCTTGAGACATCCCACAAAGCTGGCAGCAGACAGTGAGCAATCTGGGACAGTTTCCCTCTGGATGGATCCACAGTGCCTGGATGGGACCTGGCTCAGACAGAGGTCAGTTCTGCAGGTCACTGAGGCATGGAGAGGTCACAGCTACCAAGTGTAGGAATCTGTATTCAAGGCCCACAGCATGACTCCAAAGTCCCTGGACCACTTACCTCTCAGAATCACCCTTGCAAGCTCATCAGATGCCCAGGCCAGCAACACAGACAAGCCAGGGCCAAAGAAATGTGGGAAGCCTTGGAACACCCCCCACGTATTCCAACTTAATCCTGGCACCCTTGCGCCTCGCCACCCTTCTTCCTGCTTCAACCTCACCCCCTACACAGAGCCTGGTCCACTTAAGTTGGCATCAATTAGATGCCTTGATAAATCAGTCTGATCTTCTTGAGGAAAAAAAAAAAAGACTTTACAGATACACAGTTGCAAGTCAGAATGCTAAAGAACATAAACATATAACAACCTAATGTACATATACATTCATTATATAACCAATCATTGTGACATATTAAATACTATTTTCTTTTTGAGACCGAGTTTTGCTCGTTATCCAGGCTGGAGTGCAATGGCGTAATCTCAGCTCACCGCAACCTCCGCCTCCTGGGTACAGGCAATTCTCCTGCCTCGGCCTCCTGAGTAGCTGGGATTACAGGCACGCTCCACCGTGCCCAGCTAATTTTTTGTATTTTTAGTAGAGACGGGGTTTCACCATGTTGACCAGGATGGTCTCGATCTGTTGACCTCGTGATCCACCTGCCTCGGCCTCCCAAAGTGCTGGGATTACAGGCTTGAGCCACTGCGCCTGGCCTAAATACTATTTTCAAAATGTATACAAGCTTAATGTTCTATTTATTCAAAATACGAACCATCAACTTAATTTGCCACTAGTCCCTTCACAAAACACATGATCCACTGGGAGTTAACGGATTAGCAACTGACAGGCAGTGACACACAGGAATAAGGAAAACCAAGAGGCGAAACCGTTCTGAAGTAAAGAAGGTTTTAACGCAAAGAGAAATCAGAGAATTACTAAGTGATTAGCACTAATTCTGACCCAACTAACTAATTAATATGAAATGATGCAATGTCCTATGCTTTGGTAAATTCAAGCTATATTTCTAACAATGTTTGTAACGTGACTTTCGAAATGCTCCTGGCTCTACAAAGATGAGATTATAATGTAGTTAATACAGGCTAAAGCATTTCCCCCTGCTGAGCATGTTGTAACTTTCAACAGTCACATTGGGCGTCCAGAAGATGAAGGTAAAGGTTGTGGTAACTTACCGAAGTTGAATTTCTCACCCTCCGTTGCCCAGTATTGGCAGGTTCTGGAACTGGTGGCTATGGTAGCTTGTTGGTCTTTGGTCTCTTAGAAGGTGGAGAACCATCATCATCTTGAAAAAAAAAAAAATGGCCACTACTGAAGGAACCATCTTAGAGTTACAGCTAGCTCCCAGTCAATTCCCAACATTCATAAATTAGGCCAGGCACAGTGGCTCATGCCTGTAATCCCAAAATTTTGGGAGGCTGAGGCAGGCAGATCGCCTGAGGTCAGGAGTTTGAGATCAGCCTGCCTAGCACAGAGAAACCCCGTCTCTACTAAAAATGCAAAATTAGCAGGTCATGGTGGTGCCCATAATCCCAGCTACTCGGGAGGCTGACACAAGACAATCCCTTGAACCCAAGAGGTGGAGATTGCAGTGAGCCGAGATCACATAATTGCACTCCAGCCTGGAACAAGAGCAAAACTCCAGCTGAAAAAAAATTAGCCAGGCGTGGTGGTGCCTGTAATCCCAGCTACTCAGGAGGCCGAGGCAGGAGAATTGCTTGATACGGGAGGCAGAAGTTGCAGTGAGCCAAGATCACACGACTGCACTCCAGCCTGGGTAACAGAGCAAAATCCAGTCTAAAAAAAGGAAGCAAGAAGTAGGGCTACATTATTTATGAAACAGATACTGTTGACTCAGTCACCAGAAAGCCTGTGTATAAATGACCTGTGAGATATTCAAACACAGCAAACACACACAACTCAAGACAGCTGTTGTGAGAGTTCCATGCTCATTTCCTTGTGGATACGCCAGCAACTCATTCTATGATCCTCTGATAAACCTCATGTTAGAATTAGAGACATCTGGGTCAGGCACGTGACTCACAACTGTAATCCCAATAGTTTGGGAAGCCAAGGCAGGCAGAATCACCTGAGGTCAGGAGTTCAAGACCAGCCTGGCCAACATGGTGAAACCCCATCTCTATCAAAAATACAAAAAAATTAGCCTGGCATGGCTGCACATGTCTGTGCTCCCAGCTACTCGGGAGCCTGAGGCAGGAGAATTGCTTGAACCTGGAAGGTGGAGGTTGCAGTGAGCTGAGACCATGCCACTGCCTTCCAGCCTGGAAGACAGAGGAACACTCTGTCTCCACCCGCCCCCACCCCCGCAAAAAAAAATTCCAGACATCTGGATCAAATAAGCTGCCACCGTCATTTTCCAGTTCCCCAAGTGTCAGGTAATAACCTATTAAGATTGCTGCTCACACACCATCTATAAATACTGAAAATATCATTTTAAGAAATTTTATTTTTTTTGAGATGGAGTATGGCTCTTTTTGCCTAGGCTGGAGTGCAATGGTGCGATCTCAGTTCACTGCAACTTCTGCCTCCGGGTTCAAGCAATTCTCCTGCCTCAGCCTACTGAGTAGCTGGGATTAAAGGCATGCGTCACCACACCCAGCTAATTTTGTATTTTCAGTAGAGATAGGGTTTCTCCATGTTGGTCAGGCTGGTCTCAAACTACCCACCTCAGGTGATCCACCCCTCTCAGCCTCACAAAGTGCTGGGATTACAGGCGTGAACCACCACACCTGGCCAAGAAATCTTTATTTAAAAACACACTGGGGCCAGGCATGATGGCTCACACCTGTAATCCAAGCACTTTGGAGGCCAAGGTGGGCAGATCACCTGAGGTCGGGAGTTCAAGACCAGCCTGACCAACATGGTGAAACCCCGTCTTAAAAAGAAAACAACAACACTGGGCTCAGTGGCTCACACCTATAATCTCAGCACTTAGGGAGGCTGAAGTGGGTGTATCACTTGACGTCAAGAGTTTGAGACAGGCCCGGGCATCATGATGAAACCCCATCTCTACTAAAAAATACAAAAAAAGAAAAAAAATTAGCCATGTGTTGTGGTGGGCACCTGTAATCCCAGCTTCTCAGGAGGCTGAGGCAGGAGAATTGCTTCAACCTGGGTAGAGGAGATTGCAGTGAACAGAGATCATGCCACTACACTCCAGCCTGAGCAACCACAGTGAGACTCCAACTCAAAGAAAAAAGACTCCATCTAAAAAAAAATGTGGTATGGCAAAGAAAATAATTACTGTGTTAAAGACAGTTTCATAGAAAATGAAAAACCACCAAAATACAATAAGCTGTCTTTTTATATGGGTATAATTGTTATTCTTATTTTACAGCTAAAGAAACGGACTCAGAGAATGTTATTTGATTGAACCATGTTGCATCTCTGGACAGTGCAGCTGAGACAGACTTCGTGCATAACTCCACTTGTCTACCAGGGCACCTCTCATAAAGGTAAGGCATGTATATTTGGCCCAATATACAAAGCTGCTGGGGAAGCACTGGGTCAACTCTACAACAGTACTTCCAAGTTTATCAAGGGAAACCAGAAGGGAAGGTGAAAATGCTTCTAGAAGGCAACTGGACATCAGCGCCCTTGCTTGTTGCCTTTGGGCTCTTCCTCTAAGGCCAACAGTGACCTGAAATTCTTGACTGACAGTTCCAATCAACTGGAGAAAATGGTACCAAGGTCGCCAACATCAGACAGATTCACTTACGGGCCTATCTATGTGCTTTGAAAGAAAAGACAAAACTGCTTTTGTAAAGGATACTGTATTTCAGAAAAACATAATCATATTCACAACTAATAACACTGTAAAATGCTGATGTGTTGAATGCTACCTTAGAAAAAATGTTCAAATCTAGGAAAACAATTTCTGATAGAAAACTACCTATCAATTATCTAGCTAGCTATCTATCTAGAGACATGGTTTCATTCTATTGCTCAGGATGGAGAGCAGTGGGATGATCACAGCTCACTGCAGCCTTGAGCTCCTGGCCTCAAGTGATCTTCCTGCCTCAGCCTCCTAAGTAGCTGGAGTCACATGGTTACATCTGTTTTTGTTTTTTTTTTTTTTTTTTTGGAGAGACAGGGTTTCACTACATTTCCCAGGCTGGTCTCAAACTCTGGAGTCCGTCACCCAGGCTGCAGTGCAGTGATGTGATCTCGGCTCACATCTGCCTCCCGAGTTCAAGCAATTCTCCTGTCTCAGCCTCCAGAGTCGCTGGGATTATAGGCATGCCCACCACACCCACTTAATTTTTGTATTTTTTGTAGAGACCTGGTTTCACCATGTTGGCCAGGTTGGTCTCGAACTCCTGACCTCAGGTGATCTGGCCGTCCCAGCCTCCCAAAGTGCTGGGATTACAGGTGTTAGCCACCAGGCTGGCCCAAGCATTTTTTTTTCTGTTATTAAATAGCCTAACCCAGTCGGGCGAGGTGGCTCATGCCTGTAATCCCAACGACTCTGAAGGCCAAGGTGAGAAGATTGCTTTAACCCAGGAGTTTGAGACCCGCCTGGGCAATATAGTGAGACCCCCAATCTCTACAAAAAATGCTAAAATTAGGCCAGGCATGCACCGCACCCAGCTATTTTTGGATCTTTGGTAGAGATGGGATTTCATCATGTTGCCCAGGCCAGTCTCCAACTCCTGGGTCAAAGCCATCCTCCTGCCTTGGCCTCCGGAAGTGCTGGGAATACAGGGCCCAGTCAGCCTCATGTTTATTTTCAACAGTCCCTCCCTGTTGCACACTTGGATAATTTTCTTCTTTCTTTCTTTTTTTTTTTTTTTTTGAGATGGAGTTTCGCTCTTGTTACCCAGGCTGGAGTGCAATGGCGCGATCTCGGCTCACCGCAACCTCCGCCTCCTGGGTTCAGGCAATTCTCCTGCCTCAGCCTCCCGAGTAGCTGGGATTACAGGCACGCACCACCATGTCCAGCTAATTTTTTATATTTTTAGTAGAGACGGGGTTTCACCATGTTGACCAGGATGGTCTCGATCTCTTGACCTCGTGATCCACCCGCCTCGGCCTCCCAAAGTGCTGGGATTACAAGCTTGAGCCACCGCGCCCGGCCCCTTTTTTCTTTCTTTAGGCGGGGTTTACCTCAGTCTCGCAGGCTGGAGTGCTGTGGTAGGATCATCGCTCAGTGTAGCCTTGAACCTCGGGTTCAAGCAGCTGGGAGGCTGAGGTGGGACTACAGAGATAGGGTCGCGCCATGTTGCCCAGGATGCTCTTGAACTCCTGGCCTGAAGGGATCCTCCCCCTTCGGCGGGCCGACACAGTTTTCTGTTTTTGACCAACACAAACACTGTGCTGGTTCGGAGTTTGTCAACTGCCCTTCTTCAGCCAGCAGCACACAGGACCTGGCGGGGAGGTCGCGGCTGCCAGGGTACACTCTGAGGAGGGCGCAAATCGGCTCTAGGAACTGTATCGCCCGCCTGACGCCGCCGAAGGCGGACTCCAGTGTAGTCACCGAAGACCCGCCTCCGCGACGCCGCGAAGGCGCGCCCTTGTGACGTCAAGAGGCCCGCCCTCTATGCGGAGCCAATCGGAACTGGAGGCGGGGCTCCTGGTCTTCCAGGAGCGCGCATGCGCGGGCGGGTGGCCGCTGGCGGCCCGGGAGGTATGGACTCCGATGCTGAGCAGGTCTTTCCATGTCAGCAGGCTCCTGCCCCGCCGCCGTCACCCATAAGCTCCAAGGAGGAGCTTTACGACTGCCTGGACTACTACTACTTGCGTGATTTCCAGGCCTGCGGGGCCGGGCGCAGCAAGGGCCGGACACGGCGCGAGCAGGCGCTGCGCACCAACCGGCCGGCGCCCGCTGGCCACGAGCGTAAGGTCCTGCAGAAGCTCCTCAATGGCCAGCGCAAGCGCCGACAGCGCCAGCTGCAGCCCCGGCCGCGCACTCGCCTTGCCTGAGCCTAAGCCCGAACCTGGGTACGGGCCCCCCGCCACCTCCCTCAGCCCGGGCCCCGGGACCCCGGGAGCGACCCCCACCGCCCTGTGCGACTCGTCCTGGGCAGGATCGGTACCCTCTGAGGCTTCCCGGCGTTACGGAGTTGTACCCCCCAGATTGACATCTGACAGCCGTTACAGTAGCATTAAAGCTTTTGCAATTTTGTACGAAGGGGCTAGGAAACGAAGAAAACTTTTTTTGTGTGTGTGATAGAGTCTCGCTCTGTCACCTAGGCTGGAGTGCAGTGGCTTGATCTCGTCCCACTGCGACCTTCGCCTTCCGGGTTTAAGCGATTCTCCCGCCTCAGCCTCCTGAGTAGCTGGGTTTACAGGCGCACGCCACCACGCCAGGCTAATTTTGTTTGTTTGTTTGTTTTGTTAGTAAAGACGGAGTGTCACCTTGTTGGTCAGGCTGGTCTCGAACTCCTGACCTCGTGATCCGTCCGCCTCCGGCTCCCAAAGTGTTGGGATTACAGGCGTCAGCCACCGCACCCAGCGAAAACATCTTTTTAAAAATGTAAGCCATCCAACCCGGGAGGCTAAGGTTATGGTGAGCCGAGATGGCCACTGTACTCCAGCCTGCATGACAGAGCAAGACCCTGCCTCTAAAAATAGATGTGCAAGTGGGAGCTTTTCTTCCAGTGCTCATGCTCAGACTGAAAAAAGTAATTGGGGCCGGCGCAGTGGCTCCCAGTACTTTGGGGACTGAGGCGGATGGATCGCTTGAGCTCAAGAGTTCCAGACTAGCTAGGGCAATATGATGAAACCCCATCTCTACAAAAATACAAATATAAAAAATTAGCTGAGTGTGATGGCGTGTGTGCTTATAGTTCCCCCTCCTTGCGGGGTGAGGTGGGAGGATTGCTTGAGCCCAGGAGGTCAAGGCTGCAGTGAGCCCTGATCGCCCCTCTGCACTCCAGCCTGGGCGACAGAGTGAGACCCTGTGTCAAAAAATAGAAAGAATAACTGATCTGTGTTTTTGTCTAATTTCCTGCAGGATACCCGGAGGACGTGTTCAAAGTATTTGCTGTAACTCCAACTGTAACTCGGTTCTAAGGAGGAGAGAATCCATGTTCCGTCAACAACTTTTCACCTTTACTTAAGTTTACTGCTTCGATATCTTTTCCTTACTGATTGATTGTTAATTAAGTAGTGTCCAAGTGGGTTAGCCTTTTTAGGGGTTATTAATAAAAGAGGGCAGCAAGAATGGCATTTTAACTCTTCTGGGTTTTCTTCAGTTACTATGGTAACTCTTTTCAGGTCCACCAATGATTTGTTCTTATCTGTAAAGAAGAGGCCGGTCACAAAGATAAGTGGGGAGAGACCAAAGATAGGAATATATGTAAGATTTCTTTTGTATTTTTTTATTTTTGAGACAGAGCCTTGCTCTGTTACCAGGCATTAGGCTGCAGTGGCATAGTCTCAATTTACTGCGACCTCCGACTCCCAGGTTCAAACGATTCTCTTGCCTCAGCCTCCCAAGCAGCTGGGATTACAGGCGCCCACCTCGACGCCCAGCTAATTTCTTTGTATTTTTATTGGCCAGGCCAGGTGCGGTAGCTCACACTTGTAATCCCAGCATTTTGGGAGGCTCAGGCAGATCACCAGAAGTCAGGAGTTCGAGACCAGTCTGGCAAACATGGCAAAATTCCATCTCTACTAAAAATATAAAAATTAGCCGGGCATGGTGGTGGGCACCTGTAGTCCCAGCTAGTCGGGAGGCTGAGCAGAAGAATCACTTGAACCTGGGAGGCGGAGATTGCAGAGAGCCGAGATCATGCCACTGCACTCCAGCCTGGGCTACAGAGCAAGACTCCATCTCAAAAAACAAAACAAAAAAGATTTCTACCTAAATGGACTACTCTGAAGGTTAACATTTGCGTATCATAATGTATATTGCACAGTGTGTCAACCTCAATCAAAAGAGGCAGAATCTACTTTAAAGTTTATCCCTGCACAGTGTTTAAGGAGGGCCACTTGGGAAGCACAAATTCCCAAGAGTAGAAGTCAGTGTTCCAATGCTAGAAGTTTGGGATCACTTACATAGACAAAGTTTAGGGAAGCTTCACAGAATTTCAGCATCTTTTTGTTTATGGCTTAATACATAGTTAAAACAATCTTACTCCAGGCGGTCTTTCTTTCACTGTGTCACCCAGGCTGGAGTTAAGGGGCACAATCACAGCTCACTGCAGCCTCAACCTCCCAGGCTCCAGCAATGCTCCCCGCTTGGCATCACTAGTAGCTGGGACTATAGGCGTGCACCAACATACCCGATTAATTTTTGTATTTTTTTGTAAAGATGGGGTTTCGCCACATGGCCCAGGCCTGTCTCATACTCCTGGACTTAAGCAATCTGCTCACCTCAGTTTTCTAAAGTGCTGGAATTAGAGGCATGAGCGACTGCCCAGATGAGGTAGTCTTTTTTTCGGGAAACGTGTATTTAACATTCCACATTGAAGATGTAAGTCATGGGTTCCTTGTGCCATCTGGTGTAAGTTAGGTATGGAAAAATAAAGGAGGCAGTTAATATACTGGAAGGAGAGGAGGTCTAGTCTCTGGTCTCTCATAGTCATTTACAGAATGAAAATAATAAGAATAAATTAGGGGCAGGCACGGTGGCTCAAGCCTGTAATCCCATCACTTTGGGAGGCTGAGGCGGGTGGATCACAAGGTCAAGAGATCGAGACCATCCTGGTCAACTAGGTGAACCCCGTCTCTACTAAAAATACAAAAAATTAGCTGGGCATGGTGGTGCGCGCCTGTAGTCCCAGCTACTCGGGAGGAGAATTGCCTGAACCCAGGAGGCGGAGGTTGCGGTGAGCCAAGATCGCGCCATTGCACTCCAGCCTGGGTAACAAAAGCGAGACGCCGTCTCAAAAAAAAAAAGAATAAATTATAATTTAAGAACCAGAAGTTACAAACATGCTGTGTGACTTGTCAGGGTGTAGCATCCTCCTTGGCACACTAAATTTACAGAGGGTCCTGAAATTTTATTTTTTTTGGTATGGTTGCTAGGTTCTCTGCACTATTGATCCCACAACAGTTCTTCAAGGCAGATACTGCTATCTTTTTTTCTTTTTGAGACAGTCTTGCTTTGTCATCCAGGCTAGAGTGCAATGGCAGGATCTTGACTCAATGCAACCTCTGCCTCCCTGGTTCAAGCAGTTCTCCAGCCTCAGCCTCCCGAGTTGCTGGGATTACAAGCACCCACTACCACACCTGGCTAATTTATATATTTTTTGTAGAGACCACATTTCACCATGTTGGCCAGGCTGGTCTTGAACTCCTGACCTCAGATGATCCACCCACCTCAGCCTCCCAAAGTTCTGGGATTATAGGCATGAGACAGAGTTCAAGTACCTTTCCAGAGATGATACAGCTGATTAGACAGCAGACCAGGTCGTCTCCCAGGACTTTTGCCCTTGATCACTATACTACCTTGTTGAACACAGCAGTAAATATTTCATACGTAGTTTTATCCAAAATTTTCCTGTTGGTTGTGGTAAACCATGTTCTCTTGTTTTGAGACAGGGTCTTGCTCTGTTTCCTAGGCTTCTGGTGTGCAGTGGCATAAACAGGGCTCACTGCAGCCTCCACCTCCTGGACGAGGTAATCCATTTCAGCTTCCCAAAGTGCTGAGATTACAGGTATGAGCCATCATACCTGCCCTCACACTATATTTTATTTATTTATTTTTTTGAGATGGAGTCTTGCTCTGTTGCCCAGGCTGGAGTGCAGTGGCGCAATCTTGGCTCACTGCAACCTCCACCTCCTGGGTTCAAGCGATTCTTCCGCCTCCAGCCTCCGGAGTAGCTGGGACCACAGGCGCGTGCCACCATGCCCGGCTAATTTTTGTATTTTTAGTAGAGACGGGGTTTCACCGTGACCAGGATGGTCTCGATCTCTTGACCTTGTGATCCGCCTGCCTCAGCCTCCCAAAGTGCTGAGATTACAGGCTTGAGCCACGGCACCCGGCCACACACTATATTTTAATGCTTCTTTTGAAAATGGAAATTTATAGACGATTTACTTCAAACTAATGATAAGAAAATGATGCTTTTCTGGTTTGTTTTGTTTTTGTGTGTGTTTTTTTTCTTTTCTGACACATGTTCTTGCTCTGTTTCTGTTACCCAGGCTGGAGTGAGGTGGCACAATTATGGCTCACTGCAACCTCAACCTCCTGGGCTCAAGCAATCCTTCCCCCTCAGCCTCCCAAGTAGCTAGGACTATAGGTACATGCTACCACACTTGGCTAATTTTTGTATTTTTTGTATAGACAGGGTTTCACCATGTTGCCCAGGCTGGTTTCAAACTCCTGGGCTCACATATTCTCTACCCTCAGCCTCCCAGAGTGCTGGGATTACAGGCATGACTCACTGTGCCTAGCTGATGCTCTTTTTTTCAAATGCATTTTTACCTTTTTTTTTTTTTTTGAGATTCAGTCTGACTCTGTCTCCAGGCTGCAGTGCAGTGGTGCAATCTCTGCTCACTGCAGGCTGGTCTTGAACTCCTAACCTCAGATGATCCACCCGCGTCTGCATCCCAAAGTGCTGGGATTATAGGTGTGATCCACTGTGCCTGGCCATTTTGCTCATTTTAGGTACTAGAACTTTTTTAATTAAAAAAAATTTTTTTGAGACAGTCTCACTCTGTCACGCAAGCTGGAGTGCAGTGGGAGTGTCAAAGTTCACTGCAGCCTCGACTTCCTGGACTCAGGTGATTCTCTCACCATAGTCTTCCAAGTATCTGTGACCACAGGTGCATGCCATCACACCCGGCTAATTTTTTTTGTATTTTGTAGCGAAGGGGTTTCGCCATGTTGCCCAGGCTGGTCTCAAACTCCTGGGCTCAAGTGATCTTCCAGCCTGTGCCTCCCAAAGTGCTGGGATTACAGGCTTGAGCCACTGCACCAGGCCTTTTAAATTAAATTTAAATTATAAATGTCACTGTAGTGAATATGTGTATTATTTATCTGCTGCTATACAACAAATTACTCCAAGCCTTATGGCTTTAAATAAGTACTTAGGGTCTGGCACAGTGGCTCACACCTGTAATCTCAACAGTTTAGGAGGCTGAGGTAGACAGATTGCCTGGGTCCAGGAGTTCGAGACCAGCCTAGGCAACATAATGAGACTCTATCTCTATAGAAAATGCAAAAAGATGTGGTGATACACACCATGTATCTCACTCTGTCCCTCAGGCTGGAGTGCAGTGGTGTGATCTTGGCTCTTTGCAACCTCCATCTCCCGGTTCAAGCAGTTCTCCTGCCTCAGCCTCCCAAGTAGCTGAGAATACAGACACCGACCACCACACCCGGCTAATTTTTGTATTTTTAGTAGAGACAGGTTTTCACCATGTTGCCCAGGTTGGTCTCAAACTCCTGACCTCAACTGATCTGCTCACCTCAGCCTCCCAAAGTGCTGGGATTACAGATGTGAGCCACCACGCCTGGCCTAATTTTTAAATTTTTAAAATAGGAAACAGTAGATTCTGTGGCTAGATGGGGGACGAGGAAGAAGGGGTATGGGTTGAAAAACTATTATGTGCTGTGCTCACTGCCTGGGTGCAAAATACCCTTGTAAGAAAACTGCACGTGTACCCCCTGTATCTAACACAAAAGTCATGAGCTGGTGCAATGGCTCACACATGTAATCCCAGCACTTTGGGAGGCTGAGGTGGGTGGATCACTTGAGCTCAAGAGTTCAAGACCAGCCTGGGCAATGGGGCGACACCCTGTATTTTTTGTAGAGATAAAAAATACAAAAATTAGCCAGGCATGGTGGCAGGCACCTGTAATCCCAGCTACTTGGGAGGCTGAGGCAAGAGAATCACTTGAACCTGGGAGGCAGAGGTTGCAGTGAGCCAAGATTATGCCATTGCATTCCAGCCTAGGCAACAAGAAGAAAACTTGGTCTGAAAAAAAAAATTAGCCAGGCATGATGGTGTGTACCTATAGTCTCAGCTACTCAGGATGCTGAGTTGAAGATTGCTTGAGCCCAGGAGCTCAAGGCTGCAATGAACCATAATTACAACACTGCCCTCCAGCCTGGGTGACAGAGTGAAACCCTGTCTCAAAAATAATAACAATAAGATAAAAGTTAATTTTTTTCTGTTACCCAGGCTGGAGTGCAATGGCTCAATCTTGGCTCACTGCAAACTTTGCCTCCAGGGTTCAAGCGATTCTTCTGCCTCAGCCTCCTGAGTAGCTGGGATTACAGGTGTGCACCACCATGCCCAGCTAATTGTTGTATTTTTAGTAGAAACAGGGTTTCACCATGTTGTCCAGGCTGGTAAAATACAAAAATTAGCTGGGCGTGGTGGCTCACGCCTGTAATCCCAGCTACTCGGGAGGCTGAGTCAGGAGATTCACTTGAACCCCGGAGACAGCAGTTGCAGTGAGCTGAGATCACACCACTGCACTCCAGCCTGGGTGACAGATCAAGACTCTTAACTCAAAAAAAAAGAGGTCATTTTTATTTTGGGGGGTCTTAAGTCCTAAAAAAGCAGCTCATTATTTAAGCATTGGGGAAGGCATGTATAATCTTATTAGAAAAATAAATGACTTTTGTTCTCCCTTCGGGGTTTGTTAATAATTACTGAAAATGTAAAATTGAATAAGTTTCATAATGAAACTATTTTGTAAAATTCTATACTGTAGAAATGGCCTCACGGCCCTGCGGTGAGAAGGAAAGCTTAAAATGCCCTCTGATGGCCAAACATGGAATGACTGCTAAACCTATGAAAAAGTTTTAAAGTTAAAATAAGGAAACAGATCATAAACAGGTTGAAAGCTTTCTCTACAAACCTGTTCGTGGCAATGCAGTTTATAAAAGCAAATCATTGCCGGGCGCGGTGGCGCGTGCCTGTAGTTCCAGCTACTCGGGAGGCTGAGGTGGGAGGACTGCTGGAACCCAGGAGTTCTCGGCTGTGGTGCGCTATGCTGATCGGGTGTCCCCACCAAGTTTGGCATCAACATGGTGACCTCCCGGAAGCAGGGGACCACCAGGTTGTCTAAGGAGGGGTGAACTGGCCCAGGTCGGAAACGGAGCCGGTCAAAACCCCCGTGCTGATCAGTAGTGGGATCGCACCTGTGAATAGCCAGCCTGGGCAACATAGCGAGACCCCGTCTCTTAAAAAAAAAAAAATTATATATATATATAAAGCAAACCATTTTCCCAACTAGCTGGGATTACAACCACGTGCCAACACGTCCAGCTAATTTTTTGTGTTTTTAGTAGAGATGGGGTTTCTCCATGTTGGTCAGGCTGGTGTCGAACTCCTGAACTTTTGATTCGCCCGCCTCGGCCTCCCAAAGTGCTGGGATTACAGACTTGAGCCACTACGTCAGGCCAACACTGTCTTTTTTTTTTTTTTTTGAGACAGAGTCTCGTTCCGTCGCCAGGCTGGAGTGCAATGGTGCGATCTCGGCTCACCGCAACCTCCGCCTCCTGGGTTCAGGCAATTCTCCTGTCTCAGCCTCCCGAGTAGCTGGGATTACAGACACACGCCACCATGCCCAGCTAATTTTTGTATTTTTAGTAGAGACGGGGTTTCACCATGTTGACCAGGATGGTCTCGATCTCTTGACCTCGTGATCCACCCGCCTCGGCCTCCCAAAGTGCTGGGATTACAGGCGTGAGCCACCGCGCCCGCCCCGTCCCTGTCTTAAGAAAATGAAAATGAAAAACAACAACAACAACAACAAAAAAAACCGGGGGGTGGGTCCGGGGGGAAATTGGGAACGTCTCTGTAGTCAAAAAAAAAAAAAAAAAAAAAGGCTTGAACGGGCTGAGAACCTTGATTCCCAGGGGAGTCCCTGCGCTGGGCCAGCCTCTGGGGCCGGACTCCGCCTCCCAGCCCAGGAGCATCTTGGGGAAGGGCCTGTCTCCATCTGTGTGTCCCGGTGGAAAAACCGTCACGGTGGGGAGTCACTGTCATTATTCACTGAGCTCAAGTGCTCCTATTTTTGGGTTCTCCCGTTCGAATTCCTGCGTTAAGTGAATGGGGAAGGGCTGGATACCCGGGCGGTGCCCTGCGGCTCGGGGCGGGGCCAGCCGCGGTCGCGGGGCCGCAGCCACCCCAGCCCTCCTCCCGCCACGTCCTCCAGGAAACGCTGCTCAGGCCCTCCATTGAGGAGACAAGGACCCGCTGTCTTTAGACACAGGAGTAAGTCGTGAGCCCTCGTGTGAGGGGATAAGGCGTGGAGCCGGACGCGGGCGGGGTCGTTCTCACTCAGACGCTGAGGCCCCGTTATCCGGAGGCGGCGGCACCGCCCGGGCTCCCGGAGAGGGCGCGCCCACTGGCCAGAGAGCCAATCAGAGCACGGGAGGCTTGGAGGCCACCGCCCAGCGACCACTCAGGCGCGGGCCGCACGCGCTGCCTGCTCTTCCACTGGCCGAGCTTCTGCCCATCAGGGCGGAACCAGCGCGGTCTCGGCCAATAGCGGGAGGCGGCCGGGTCAGGCCAGCGGCCTGGCGCGAGCCGGTCGGCTGTGGGGGAGCCACCGCCTCCCGCCTGCGCGCTGCCTCTCGGCCCCCTCAGGCCCGCCCGCAGCCGGCCGCGTCATGCCAGGCGCTGCTCAGCGGTAGGGAGTGCCCGGGGCTACAGCCGCCGCCCTCCCGCCCGAAGCCGCGCCCACTGCCCAGAGCCAGAGGGATGGTGGTAGTCACGGGGCGGGAGCCAGACAGCCGTCGTCAGGACGGTGCCATGTCCAGCTCCGACGCCGAAGACGACTTTCTGGAGCCGGCCACGCCGACGGCCACGCAGGCGGGGCATGCGCTGCCCCTGCTGCCCCAGGAGGTACCCGGGGCGATCGCGGGCTGGGGGACACGGGGGAGAAGCAGGCGCCAGGCTGAGCTGACCTTGGCGGACGGGCGGCGCCGGGCTGGGGGGCGGGACCCGCGGGCCTGCGCCCTTTCCCTGCCCACCTGCAACCCCCGCCCACCTGCACCCCTCCCCGCCCACCTGCAACCCCCACCCACCTGCAACCCCCGACCACCTACGCCCCTCCCCGCCCACCTGTAACCCCCACCCTCCCGCGCCCCTCCCCGCCCACCTGCAACCCCGCCCACCTGCGCCCCTCCCCCGCCCACCTGCAACCCCCACCCTCCTGCGCCCCTCCCCGCCCACCTGCAACCCCCACCCACCTGCAACCCCGCCCACCTGCGCCCCTCCCCGCCCACCTGCAACCCCCACCCACCTGCAACCCCGCCCACCTGCGCCCCTCCCCGCCCACCTGCAACCCCCACCCTCCTGCGCCCCTCCCCGCCCACCTGCAACCCCGCCCACCTGCGCCCCTCCCCGCCCACCTGCAACCCCCACCCTCCTGCGCCCCTCCTCGCCCACCTGCCAGCCCCGCCCACCTGCACACCTGTCAGTTGCACCCGCGCCCCCCACCCCTCCTCCCAGTACTCACTGTCCCTGTAAAGGTGATTTAATCTCATCCGCACGTCCCACCTTTACCGAAGACAAGAGGGAAGGTGGGTCGTGGGAGAGCTACGCTGGAGACCCCAGAGCGGGCACGGTAGCTCGCGCCTGTAATCTTAGCACTTTGGGAGGGAGGATCGCTTCAGAGCGTTGGAGGCCAGCCTGGGCAACGTAGGGAGGTCCCCGTTCCTACTACGACTGGGAAAAAAAAAAAAGCCATTTAGGGTTGGATGAATACAAAAAAGAAAAGAAAAAGATGTCTTCTAGAGAAGCCAGCAGGATGCCTTAGTGGATGCCCACACCTACTCTTCCGCTGCCTACAGAACAGGGCAAGGAGCTGTCTGCAGACAAGGGGCAGGCCAGTTCGTAGATGTGACCACGGTCAGCTGGCATCCCATGGCTTCCACTGACGGGCTGCTGTGCTCTGACGCACCAGGGCTTCCACTGGTCTTAATGTGTGATACTATAATGTCAGCACCTGAAATGACACTCAAGAGACAGATGGTGGCTCACGTTTGTAATGTCAGCACTTCGGGATGCTGAGATGGGAGGACTGCTTGAGCCCAGCCAGGGCAACAGCGAGACCCTGCCTCTACAGAAATAGAAGTAAACATTAGCCAGGCATGCAGGGGTGCGCCTGTAGTCCCAGGTGCTCAGGAAGGTGAGATGGGAGGACTGCTTGAGCCCAGCCAGGGCAACAGCGAGACCCTGCCTCTACAGAAATAGAAGTAAAGATTAGCCAGGCATGCTGGGGTGCGCCTGTAGTCCCAGGTGCTCAGGAAGGTGAGTTGGGAGGACTGCTTGAGCCCAGCCAGGGCAACAGCGAGACCCTGCCTCTACAGAAATAAAAGTAAAGATTAGCCAGGCATGCTGGGGTGTGCCTGTAGTCCCAGGTGCTCAGGAAGGTGAGTTGGGAGGATCGCTTGAGCGCTGGAGGTGGAGGCTGCAGTGAGCCATGATTATGCCACTGCACTCCAGCCTGGGTGACACAGTAAGACCGTGCCTCCAAACAAACAAACAGTAAAAGCAAGATAAGGGAGAAAATGCTGGGTGTGGTGGCTTACACTTGTTATCCCAGCACTTTGGGAGGCTAAGATGGGAGGATCGCTTGAGGCCAGGAGTCTGGGACCAGCCCGGGCAACACAGTGAGACTCCATCTCTACAAATAAAAAATAAACATGAGGGAGGAAAGGTGAAGCATTACTGGACACTGAAGATGGCTCCTAGGAGGCAGGGACTAAGGTAGTGCCAGATCCAGGAGCATGTGGTATGTGGAGTCCCGGGACAATGGATAGAAGCCCTCTCGGGCTGGGCTCGGTGATGCTCTTGGGAAGCAGGCAGTGTCTGCTAGGATTGCAAGCCCGAACACACACTGTCATGTGAAAATGAGCAAAAGTCTACAAGTGATCTCTGCAATTGAAAACAAAGTCACCAGTCACAGTGGTGCTATTTTTTGTGCACTGTCATTGGGGAAATGATGTGGTGTGAGGGAAAGAGCACAGGACCGTAGACTGCAGAGCAGGGCCCCACTGCCAGCTCCCCCACTGATTCCATTGCTCCATGTGAGCTCTGAAACTGTTTTCCATGGCTTTTGTCCTCTCTGCTTCAATCCTCTCATCTCTAATACGGAGCAAACACCTGGATTGGGATCAGGTATTTTGGAAAAGATTTTAAAAGCTCCAGAAATGTTAAGTATTACTACTCCAAAATGATATTTGAGCCCTTTATAGACACATAAAATGATTTAGACACCTACAGAGTAAGCACAAGGCCATTTTTATGTCCTATGCGTGCAGAAGAATAACAGTACATATACACACAGAAGTGTAAATACCTGTCTGTTCGTTCATTCATTCATTCAGTAAATTTTGGGTCTTTACATGAGCCAGGCACTGCACAAGGTCCTGAGTCAGCATGATTTAAGGTATTTGTATCTTATTTTATTTCACAAATGATTTAAAGCTGGGAAAGGGACTGTGTAGATAAGTAGACCTTCACTGGAGCAAGAGAGATGTAATTTTGAAAAGGATGCATGGCTGTAATCCCAGCACTTTGGGAGGCCATGGCGGTCAGATCACTTGAGGTTAGGAGTTTGAGACCAGCCCGGCCAACATGGTGAAACCCCCTCTCTACTAAAAATAGATTTAGCCGGTGTGGTTGTGCGCGCCTGTAGTCCCAGCTATTCAGGAGGCTGGGGCAGCAGAATCACTTGAACCCGGGAGGCAGAGGTTGCAGTGAACCGAGATCATGCCACTGCCCTCCAGCCTGGGCAATGCAGTGAGACTCCGTCTCAAAAAAGGAAAAAAAAAATGATGCATGGGGATGAAATTTGAATTGATCTGGAGGAAGTTTGTGGGAAGATTAGAGAGAACTTAAACTGACCTCATTTCTTTCAAATGCAGTTTGGTAGAAACCACAAGCAGTGAAAAACATCAGAAAAAAAAAAAGCTTTGCATTTTAATGGAAACCTTGAGCTTCTTAGGGCATATTTACACCATCATGTTCTTTTCTTTTTTTTTTCTTTTTTTTTTTTTTTTTTGAGATGGGAGTCTCTCTCTGTCGCCCAGGCTGGAGTGCAGTGGCAGGATCTTGGCTCACTGCAACCTCTGCCTCCCAGGTTCAAGCAATTCTCCTGCCTCAGCCTCTTGAGTAGCTGGGATTACAGGCACCTGCCAGCATGCCAGCTAATTTTTGTATTTTTAGTAGAGATGGGGTTTCACCATGTTGGTCACGCTGGGCTTGAACTGACCTTGTGATCCACCTACCTCAGCCTCCCAAAGTGCTGGGATTACAGGTATGAGCCACTGCACCAGGCCTGTACCATCATTTTCATGTTCCTCACTCAGCTCTTGCCTCTAGAACTTAAGCTGGACTGGAGACCAGTCTCTACAGATTAGGAGAGGAGTAGATGCCTGGAAGCATTCAACACACAACTACTGAGCTTTGCTGTGGATAGCCCAATGATTGGTGACCAACATGCTTTCCTTGTCTCTGGGAAGCTTGGGTCTAGTGGAGTGAATTGACAGAGGAAAATAATTGGCAATGTATTGTGCTAGGAGCTATTTTAGAGGAGAGTGTGGCACATGGTAAAGGCACAGTGTCATTTACTCTATCTTGCGGGCAGGTGAGGAACAGTAGAGCAGAAATGCTCACAGAGAGGGGAACTTGCATAGAAAATTCTAGAATGAGTAGATGCCGCTAACTTGTACGATGCCTTGGTGTGAATTAGAAAAAGGGCACATAGCAGTTTACTCCCATCTAGGTGCTTTTTTGCAGTGAACAACCTATACCACTATATGGGGCCATTTAGTTTGACATATAGACAGAAGAAGGAGTGTGGTAAGAGCATTTTGGGCAAAGAAGATGATGTGAGCAAGAGCACAAAGCTGGTAAATTCTGGAAGTGAAAGGACACTGAAAGCTTGAGCTCTAGGGCAGTGATAATGGGGTTGAGGTGGAGAGACCTGATTTAAGAGCTCTGAGGGTTGGAATGGGTAGGACTCAGCAGGTGATGAGGGTGGGGCCGAGGGAGGAGAGAGAAGAAAGTGATCAGATGGACTCTGGGGCTTGAGTGACTGAGTGAATGGTGTGGCACCAATCAGACCCGAGGGACTGAAGATGGAGCAGCCCCACCCAGCTCTCATTCCCCACTGCCTGAGAGCCCTGGTGATTTCTTTCCAGTTTCCTGAGGTTGTCCCCCTTAACATCGGAGGGGCTTACTTCACTACACGCCTGTCCACACTGCGACGCTACGAAGACACCATGTTGGCAGCCATGTTCAGTGGACGGCACTACATCCCCACGGACTCCGAGGGCCGGTATTTCATCGACCGAGATGGCACACACTTTGGGTATGTCTCTCCCTCTACAGTCAACTTTGTAGTCCTAGCAAGTGTGTAGCCCAGTTGAGTATGGGACCTTGGTATCTTCCATAGTACCTGGAAGAGATAACATATTGATGGCATTTAATAAATGGGCGTACTGAATTAGATAAAATTTATTTATTTATTTAGTCAAAGGAGACAAAGAGAGACAAATCCCGAATAACACACACTGGCTGTAGGAAATTGCTTCAATCCTAGACAATTTAAAATGTTTTATTTTTGTCCCAGCACAGTGGGTCACACCTGTAATCCCAGCACACTGGGAGGCCAAGACAGGTGGATCACGAGGTCAAGAGAGCAAGACCATCCTGGCTGACATGGTGAAACCCTGTCTCTACTAAAAATACAAAAATTAGCTGGGTGTGGTGGCAGGTGCCTATAGTCCCAACTATTCAGGAGGCTGAGGTAGGAGAATTGCTTGAACCCAGGAGGTAGTGGTTGCAGTGAGCCGAAATCACGCCACTGCACTCCAGCCTGGGCGACAGAGCGAGACTCCATCTCCAAATATAAAACAGGCTGGGCGTGGTGGCTCACGCCTGTAATCCAAGCACTTTGGAGGCCAAGGTGGGTGGATCACCTGAGGCTGGGAGTTCAAGACCAGCCTGACCAACATGGTGAAACCCCATCGTTAAAAAAAAAAAAATTAAAAAAAATACAAAACAGAACAAAATGTTATCATTTATCTAATTATACACACACATACACATATGTATAAACACACACAAGTATAAATATAAGTGTGTGTGTGTGTGTGTGTGTGTGTGTGTATGTATGTAAAAATAGAGATGGGATCTTGCTATATTGCCCAGGCTGGTCTCAAGCTACTGGTCTTAGGCAATCCTCCCACCTTGGCCTCCCAAACTCTGGTATTCCAGTATTTATTTAATTTTTGTTTGTTTGTTTGTTTTTTGAGACGGAGTTACCCAGGCTGGAGTGCAATGGCGCGATCTCGGCTCACTGCAACCTCCGCCTTCTGGGTTCAAGCACTTCTCCTGCCTCAGCCTCCCGAGTAGCTGGGACTACAGGGACGCGCCACCATGCCCAGCTAATTTTTGTATTTTTAGTAGAGACGGGGTTTCACCTTGTTGACCATGATGGTCTTGATCTCTTGATCTCGTGATCTGCCCTCCTCGGCCTCCCAAAGTGCTGGGATTATAGGCGTGAGCCATTGCGCCCGGCCTAATTTTTTTTTTTTTAATGGAGTTTCACTTTTGTTGGCCAGGCTGGAGTGCAATGGCACAATCTTGGCTCACTGCAACCCCCACCTCACCCTGGGTTCAAGCGATTCTCCTGCCTCAGCGTCCTGAATAGCTGGGATTACAGGCATACATCACCACTCCCTGCTAATTGTTTTTTCTATTTTTAGTAGAGACAGGGTTTCTCCATGTTGGTCAGGCTGGTCTCAAACTCCTGACCTCAGGTGATCCTCCTGCCTTGCTAGGTCTTCCAAAGTTGTGGAATTACATGCATGAGCCACCGTGCCCAGCCATGTTTTTTAGTTTTTCATTCTTTGGTTGGGGGGGGGGCTGTGTTTTTGGATATAGGGTCTTGCTTTGTTGCCCAGTGTGGAATGTAGTGGCTATTCACCAGTGTCATCATAGGTCATGGCATACTTAAGCTCCTGACTCAAGCAGTCTTCTCACCTCAGCCTCCCAAATAGCTGAGATGACAGGCATGTGCCACCACACCTGACTATCCTAGGCAATATGAGACCAGGAAGTTGTCACGTGTGTGGAGGGGAATAAGTATAATCTCAGGTGGAGGGTGTAAACGAAAACAACTTGGAGAGTACATTTAGATCCAGATTATTGGGCTCAGCATTGCTATGGGAAGGAAGGATGGTGTGTAGCAGTTGTTCCCAGTAGTTTAAAACAATAACAAAATAGCTATATAGCCAGTACAAAAAAAAAAAGAAAAAGAAAATTTTTCTACAATAAAAAAATTTAAAAAACCAAAAAACAAACAAAAACAAAAAAGCCGAAAGACTGACACAGGGTTGTTCTCTAATTTTGCCAAGAAAAGTCTTTTAAAAAAACAAAAACCTGTTGTTCCTGTCACTTAACACTAAAATGTGCAAATCTCAACAACAAAATAGCAGCCAGGCGTGGTGGCACTTGCCTGTATTCCAGCTACTTGTGAGGCTGAGGTGGGAGGATTGCTGGAGCCCAGGAGTTGGAGGCTGCAGTGAGCCGTGATCCTACCACTCTGCTCCAGCCTGGGCAGCAGAGTGAGACTTTTGTTGTTGTGGTGGTGGTGGTGGTTTGTTTTTGAGACAGTGTCTTGCTCAGTTGCCCAAGCTGAGTACAGTGGCATGAGCACGGCTCACTCAGCCTTGACCTCCCAGGTGCAAGCAATTCTCCTGCCTCAGCTTCCCAAGCAGCTGGGACTAGAGGTGCGCACCATCATGCCTGGCTAATTTTTGATGTTTTGTAGAGATGAGGTCTCACTGTGTTTCCCAGGATGTTCTCAAACTCCTAGACTCAAGTGATCCTCCTGCCTCAGATTCCCAAATTGCTGGGATTACAGGCTGCACCGGCTAAGACTCTGTCTCTTAAAAAAGAAAAACCTTTTCCAAGGACTTCTGACAACCTTACACCCAAACAATGTAAAGACTTTATGCCTCAGGTTGCGTGTTTGTGAAATGAGAAATAATTATAGCTGCTGCATAGGCTTGTCAGTGGGGATTACGTAAAGAGCCTTGGTGTGACCCCCTAGCCATGTCCTTTTCAGAGTGTGTGGCAGGAACTCTCAGCTCCTTCAGTCTGACATTGGAGATAACTAGAGACCTTGAACCAAACGCCCAAGGAGGCAGAAACTCTCCAATCACATCTCTGTGCTGGCCTCCAAGTAGGACTGCCCACGTTGTGGGAAAGGTCATTTTTATTCTCAGAAAGGAGGCCCTGGTCAGATAACTTGCTTGGAAGCATCTAGGTTTCCCCAGTGGGCTATCAGCTGCCTCAGTGCTGAGAAAACAAAGTGTCACATCGCTCTGCGTTTAGAACTATAAAAAGATGTTTGTTTGCAGGCTGCTTGGGGAGGAAAGTGCTGGCTCCAGCTGGTGGCTCCCACAGCGCTCTTAGCCGGGTCTTGCCCCAGGGTTTTGTTTTGCAGAGCTCACCAAGGTTTGCTGAAGGTCTGGAAGGGATTTTGGGGAGGGGGATCCAAGTTTCACTTGAGGTGGAATTGCCCATGCCCGGGCGGCCACAGCTAGAGAGTGACAGCGCCAGGCAAGGGCATGGCAGAAAGCAGGAGATGGCGACATTCATACTTTGGCTGATGAGCTCCTGTGACCTGTGATTCATCAGCGCAGACGAAGCTGTTGAATGACCCAGATAAAATAGGGGGTTCAGGGCATTTCGCAGGGTGCATTTCTTGCTGTGAAGCTTATGTACCCCCAGAACCCAACATGAAGCCTGCTTGGGCCTCCACCTGTCTTGTCATTGGCTTGCCACACTCTGGTTTAAATGCCTCTGCTGAAGCTGGACCAGTGTGGATGTGGGTGTAGAGTCAGCCACGACTGGATCTGAGCCTCTGGCAATTATGGCTACTTGAGCAAAAGTGTTCATGAACCTCTCTGAGCACTACTTGAGCCTCATTTATGACATAGAGATAAGATAGCACACACCCCCAATGTCATTGAGAGGATTACATAGGATAACCCATGAATAGTGGCTGGCACCAAGTAATACTTAGTGAGTGTTAGCTGGTGTTGTATTAGGTCGCAGACTAAGCTCTTATTGAGGTAGCAGCATAATCTTGAGGTTTATCACTCTCTTCCACACATACCAGTGAAGTATCTGATTATTCTTAGCACTAAAGAATCTAAAAAGCTGGTGGCTTGCACTTATGGTCCCTGCTATTCGGGAGGTTGAACCAAGAGGATTGCTTGAGCCTAGGAGTCAGAGGCTGCAGTGAGCTATGATCGTTGGGTGACAGAACAAGACCCTATCTCTTAAAAAAGAAAATAAAAAGAATCTGAAAAATGAATTAGAAGGACTGAAATTTAAGAAAATAAAAATGATTTTATTCAGCCTTGGAACCAGTTTGTTCAGACATTAGGGGTAGGCATTTTACCTGCTCTGCATAGCTACAGAATAATACTACTGGCAAGGATGGGGAACACCTAGAACTCTTCTGCATTGCTAGTGGAAATGTGATATGCTGCTGCCACGTTGTTAGCCACATGCTTACACTATGACTGAACAATTCCACTCCCAATACTTACTCAAAACAAATTTGTGCCGTGTCCACTAAAGGTCTTTTTTTTTTTTTTTTTTTTTTTGAGATGGACTCTTACTCTTGTCACCCAGGCTGGAGTGCAGTGGCATGATCTCAGCTCACTGTAACCTCTGCTTTTCAGGTTCAAGCAGTTCCCCTGCCTCAGCCTGCTGAGTAACTGGGATTACAGGTGTCTGCCACTACATCCAGCTAATTTTTTTTTTTTTGAGACAGAGTTTTGCTCTTTTTATTTATTTATTTCAAGAGAGTTTTGCCCAGGCTGAAGTGTAATGCACAATCTCGGCTCCCTGAAACCTTCGCCTCCTGGGTTCAAGCAATTCTCCTGCCTCAGCCTCCCAAGTAGCTGGGATGACAGGCATGCACCACCATGCCTGGCTAATTTTGTATTTTTAATAGAGACAGGGTTTCTCCATGTTGGTCAGGCTGGTCTCGAACTGCCAACCTCAGGTGATCCACCACGTTTGCCTCCCAAAGTGCTGGGATTACAGGCGTGAGCCACCGCACCCGGCTAATTTTTGTATAATTAGTAGAAATGGAGTTACACTGTTCTGGCCAGGCTGGTCTCAAACTCCTGGCCTCAGGTGATCTACCCACCTCGGCCTCCCAAAGTGCTAGGATCACAGGCGTGAACCACCGCGCCCAGCCTAAAGGTCTTATCTAGGAATGTTCATCCCAGCTTTACTCATAGTAGCCAAAAACTGGAAACAACTCAAATGTTCATCAACAAGACAACAGGGTAAATAAATTATAGTATGCAAGAGTATACTTACATAAATAATAATAATAAATAATAGCAAACTACTGGTACACACAATATAGTGGATACATTTCAAAAACATTATGTTGAAGGAAAGAAGCCAGGTACAAAAGAACATACTATGTAATTATATGAATTTCAAGAAAAGGGAAACGAATCTTTACTGATGGAAGGAGAACTTAGAGTAGTTGCTTCTATAGGGATTAATGGAAGTGGCACAAGGAACTTTAAGGAATGGAATTTATTTTTTTGAGACAGTCTCACTCTCGTCGCCCAGGCTGGAGTGCCGTGGTGTAACCTTGGCTCGCTGCAACCTCTGCCTCCTGGGTTCAAGTGATTCTCCTGCCTCAGCCTCCTGAGTATTTGGGATTACAAATGTTCACCACCCCGCCAATTTTTTTTTTTTTTTTTTTTTTTTGAGACAGAGTCTTGCTTTCTCACCAGACTGGAGTGCAGTGGCGGAATCTTGGCTCACTGAAACCTCTGCCTCCCAGGCTCAAGCAATTCCCCTTCCTCAGCCACCCAAGTAGCTGGGCCACCACACCTGGGTAATTTTTTTTATATTTGAGACAGGGTTTCACCATGTTGGCAGGCTGGTCTCAAACTCCTGGCCTAGAGTGATCTACCTGCCTCGGCCTCCCAAAATGTTGGGATTACAGGCGTGAGCCACTGTGCCTGGCCTTTTTTGTATTTCTAATAGAGACGGGGTTTCACCATATTGGTCACGCTGGTCTTGAACTCCTGACCTCATGATCTGCCCACCTTGGCCTCCCGAAATGCTGGGATTACAGTCACCAGCCACCACGCCCAGCGGAAATGTTTTATCTTGATCTAGGTGTTGGTTGGATGGGTGTATTCATACATAAACTGAACTGTACAGTTAATATTTGTACATTTAATGAATATTTATTTCACCTCAGTTTTAAAACTATATATATGTATATGTGTGTATATATGTATGTGTGTGTGTATATATGTGTGTGTGTGTATATATATATTATATGGGGCTAGATGTCATATCTTTCCATTATACTTACATGTACATAATAATACCTAATATTATACCTAATAATAGTAATTATAGTTGCCTCCTGATAACAGCAACTAATAACACTTATTGAGGCCTTACTCTGTGCCAGGGATTTTCTAAGCATTTAATTCCCTAATACATTATGAGGTTTTATTGTTTTCTCCAGTTTTACAGACAGGAAAACTGAGGCATGGAGAGGTTAAGTTCACTTACCCAGTGTAACACCGTTGGCAGTCTGGTTTTAGATTCTGTCCAACCACAGTGTGGCACTGCCCAGGAGCATGAGCTCCTTTTCACCGACGCTCTTTCCTTCCTGCTCAGAGATGTGCTGAATTTTCTGCGCTCAGGGGACCTGCCACCCAGGGAGCGTGTTCGGGCTGTGTACAAAGAAGCCCAGTACTATGCTGTTGGGCCCCTCCTGGAGCAGCTGGAGAACATGCAGCCTCTGAAGGGCGAGAAAGTGCGCCAGGCGTTTCTGGGACTCATGCCCTATTACAAAGGTGAGGATCAGCTGCCCAGGACGGTGGGTATGAGGAAGGAGGTGTACAAGGCATCTGTGAGTGTTTAGGTCTCTACCAGAACACCGAGGGCAGCGTTCATCCAGATTCCTCAAGATGGGAGGGAGTGTCCTTTCCTCCCAGTCAGGCTGGGGTGATTCAGGTTAAACTGTGCCTACCTGGCCTATGAGTCAGGCTGGAGAGATTCAGGTTAAGGTGGGCCTACCTGGCCCTTGACAGGCTGGAGAGATTCAGGTTAAGGTGGGCCTACCTCACCTATGGCAGTCAGGCTGGAGAGGTTAAGGTAAAGGTGGGCCTACCTGGCCCATCCCTCCCAGTCAGCAAATTGTGTTTCAGAAGGACAGCCCTTGTCCCATTGGTTTCCCTCTGCTGTGCAGAACCATGACCTTTGTTTAAGTTTGTGCCTCTAACGGGCCCCCTCAGTCCCTCCCCCGGGAAATCTGTCTTTCCCCTCCTGCATCCTGCCATCTTCAGGACTGTTTCTCTGTGTATCTCTGCCGGCCTGTTCTGCCCCTTCACCCCTGTGATGGATGTTGTGTTCACCCTCATAGACCACTTGGAACGGATTGTGGAGATTGCCCGGCTGCGTGCAGTCCAGCGGAAGGCCCGCTTTGCCAAGCTCAAGGTCTGTGTCTTCAAGGAGGAGATGCCCATCACCCCCTATGAGTGTCCGCTCCTCAACTCCCTGCGCTTTGAGCGGAGTGAGAGTGACGGGCAGCTCTTTGAGCACCACTGTGAAGTGGACGTGTCTTTTGGACCCTGGGAGGCTGTGGCTGATGTTTATGACCTGCTGCACTGCCTGGTCACGGACCTCTCGGCCCAGGGCCTCACCGTAGACCACCAGTGCATCGGGGTGTGTGACAAGCACCTCGTGAACCACTACTACTGCAAGCGCCCCATCTATGAGTTCAAGATCACATGGTGGTGAGCAGTCCTGGTAGGCAAGCGTCCCATCAGGGAGGATGTCCACCCTGCTTGATGGCGCTGGGAGCAAGATCCCCGAAGGGGCTGCTGACTGCCCCAGAATCTGCCGAGGTGAGGACCGAGTCCTGAGGCACAGCTCCCAGGGGACAGAGGTGCAGCTCCAGTCTCCCTGGCTGCACCTCAGGGTTGGGCTCAGGGCTTGCAGCCTGCAGGGACTCGGGCCTGCACTCACCTGGCCTTTCCTCAAGGCCTGGTAGTCTTTCCTTGAGGCTGACGGCTATGGCTTGACCAGGAAGTCTTGAGAGGTTTTGTCAACTTCGTGACCTTACAAGAGAGTTCCTGCCCATTTTAGAGCCACGTTACCAAATCGATGTAGGCCTGATCACTTTCTCAACCCTGTTGAAGCGTGTTGGTGTGAACATGGAACATGATGGGGGATTTACCTGACTAGCCACCCCATAGCCCCTGGCTGGAGAAGAGCGTCTTCTCTCCCAGTGCAACCCTTCTCCTCCAGCAATAGTCCCCCACATTCTTAAAATGAGGAAAGACTTTTGTTTCTGGAACATGTTCTTCCCCACCTTCTGGAGATTTCATCGCAGCTGCCAAAGCTGTGCACAGAGTTGGCCTTAGACAACCACAACGTTTACAGCCCCGTCTGTGCACTGAGTTGCCCTTAGACAACCACAACGTTTACAGCTCCGTCTTAGGGCCACAGCTTCTCCCAGCTTCCGCCACCTTCCTTGCTTGCCGGGTCATCCTCTCACAGGGCTGGAATGCAAATTTCAAAGGCTTCGTTTGAAGATTCCCTAAGTCAAGCAGGCAAGATGCCTAGATCTTCTGCTACCTTTGACATGTAACATCCTTTTTAGAGGCTCAGAACACCTCCTTGGCTGCTGTCTCATTTGTTAGAATCCAATTTGTGGAGAACCTCTTTGGAAGGGGACCCCCTCTTTAAACCCTGTTGCTTTCCTGCTAACATTCTCCTAGAAGAGTGTCTATTCTGAGAAGGTAACGGAAGGGCTAGATGAGAGGCACAGCTATCCTAGGAGCTGTAGGAAGACAGAGAAAGCTTCCCTTTTGTTTTACTCCTCACATTTCAGAAATAGAAAAAGATTCCCAAGGATCTGTTACTACTGCATTTCCTTCTTGCTCTGTCTACATCGTGGGTCAACAAGTCAGGGTCTGGACATGCATCTCCTAAAGGAAGAGCTATACAGCACCACTGATCACAACATTTCCGTGCTGCGTCAAGGGTGTCGCTCTGTGATATCTCTTCTTCCTGGGTATTCTTGAAGGGAGACTTTTTAAAAAAAAAAAAAAAAGTAAAGAATTATGTGAGCCAGGCAAATGCCTTTAGTTCCAGCTACTCAGGATGCTGAGGCAGGAGGATCACTTGAGCCCAGGAGATTAAGACTATAGTCACTATGATCATGCCTATGACTAGTCACTTTGCTCCAGCCTGGGCAACATAGTGAGACCCAATCAAAAAAAAAAAAAGACCAGGTGTGGTGGCTCACACCTGTAATCCCAGCACTTTGGGAGAAGAAGGTGGGCAGATAACGAAGTCAGGAGGTTGAGACCATCCTGGCCAACATGGTGAAACACAGTCTTTACTAAAAACACAAAAAATTAGCCAGGCATGGTGGCGCGTACCTGTAGACCCAGCTACTCAGGAGGCTGAGGCAGGGGAATCACTTGAACCCAGGAGGTGGAGGTTGCAGTGAGCTGAGATTGCGCCAGTGCACTCTAGTCTGGCAATAGAGCAAGATTCTGTCTCAAAAAGAAAAAAACCAAACAATAACAAAAAACACAAACTGAGGAGGACAGCCTCACTGGTCTCAGACTTATAGGAGCAGAATATATGAGATGGGCATATGGAGAGCTAAAGTCTGTGTCCATATGAGGAAGACAAGGTCAAGCCCTGGGACTTTGACTGAATTCCTCTATGGGGCTGGAATGCAGTGACCTTCTGTTCCCTGTGTGGAAACAGATTCCAGGGCATGGTTTTGCATTCCTGTTGTACTTTCTTTTTTTAAAAAAAAAAGGTGGAGTCTTGCCCTGTTGCCTAGGCTGAAGTACAATGGCACGATCTCAGCTCACTGCAACCTCTGCCTCCCAGGTTCAAGCAATTCTCCTGCCTCAGCCTCCTGAGTAGCTGGGATTACAGAGGCGCACCACCACACATGGCTAATTTTTTGTATCTTCAGTAGAGATGAGGTTTCACCATGTTGGCCAGGCTGGTCTTGAACTCCTGACCTTGTGATCCGCCCACCTCAGTCTCCCAGAGTGCTGGGATTACAGGCATGAGCCACCACTCCCGGCCCCCGTTGTACTCTTTTAGAGGTGGAACAGAGGTGGATACTGAGCTCTAAGGGGAAAGGATATTCATGTTCTGAGATCTGTGTTCTCTCCATTGTTCTCATACAGAAAAGGATGGTCTCTTTTCTGGAGCTGATGTCTCTGCTTAGCCCAAAAACATGCCTCTTGCCTTGTTCTAAGAGAAAGGTCTTTCATTTCTGTTCTTCTGATTGGTGTTACCTACTGCCTATTATGTGCTCATTTTTTTTTTAACAGATAAAGAGGTGAGAAAGTCTGTGAATAGAGAACAGTTCATTAAGGCCAGTGCTTTCAGCAATCTGGCCTTGACCCCTTCTTCTTCCCCCCTCTGCCATGGAGCATCGCAGGGCTTGGTTATTTAGAGTCCATGCATGCAAGCCAGGGAGAAACTTGTTTGCTCAAATGCACGTTTGCTCGAGAACGGGTCCTGAAGGCTTGCTTAGGGTCACAGGGATGCTGAGTAAGAGCACCGGTCCTGTGTCACTTGCTGGAGGAACCCGTTTCTCTGACTCCCTGTTGGATCTTCACAGCAGTGTATTCTGTGTCAACGTAGGACACAAGGCTCTGGGCCAGTATAGTAGGTAGAGAGGTGACACTGGGCAGCAAGCTGAGTGAAGATTTCTTAATGGAGTGAAAATTCAGTGGCCTAGTTTAGCTATTCTGATGAGAAACCAAGGCCAGGTTGAAAAGTACAGTTAGATGTGGTGGGTTCTGGTAATGGCCTCCAAATAAAGGGGTTAGCCCTGTGGAAATGACTTCTACCCATTTGATCCCTTTTCAACTCTAAATGGCCAGGCCCAGAACAGAAGAAGGGTTGGGTCTGGAAGGAAGGCTGCAAAGGATGAAAGCGTCTCCCTAGTCAGAAGGAAGTGCGTCTTTATGAATTGTAAACCGCTCTCACTAGACAAGGGACTGGATTCATCTTGCCTGGAGACAGGCCAGTAGTTATCGGTGAGTCAAACCAAAGTGAAAGTTTCAGGAGTTGGGACCACATGGTGCGATGCTCGCCAGAACAAAATTCCTGAAAGCTGAAAAAGCTAATGCTACAGCAACAAAAAAGACTGAAGCAAACCACACTGAAACACGTGCACTGCAGGGGAGGCGCTCTGTGCTAACACTGTAAATAGATGAAAGGGAATGACCCTCACCTTCCTTATCCTACCTTTGCCGTGTGCACCCGGCTGCCCAGTGCTTACCATGCAGAAAGCAGTCGGCTGTACTCTGCAAGTTTCTGTTCTTCTTTGCTGGGTCTTAGGGTATTCTGGGAGCTGTCTGAGCCTTGTGCCTCAGGCTTATTAGGTGACATACTCTTCCTGTTATGGGCTGCTTGCTGGACAACTAGAAGTCGACATTTGTAAGACACAGGGCAGAGTGAGCGTCCATGTGTGGTCTTGGCCTAAGCCGGGTCCTGAAGAGGTTAAAGCAGACAGCAATAACAAAACAAAAACTACCCCACTGAGCACTCTGATCCCAGCAAGATTTCAAACACTGCCCTTCTGCATACGTTCCATCCGTATTTCATCCCAATAAGCATTATGAAGCTTTCTTGAGTACTGTTGTGCCGGGGCTCTTGCATGAAGGTGGTGCCCGTCTCACGATCCTTCAAAGAGAGAGGCTCTTCATTCTAAGCTGGAGTGTTGGGAACTGGGGTGGGAGAGGCGCTTGTGGAATTCTGACAGAATCCTCATCTGTGTATACACATATTGAGTGGGGAAGGATGGGGGTTGGCAAGGGGTGAGGGAGGCGGGAGCAAACATTGGGTGTGGGAACAGGCAGTCACCTTGAGTGTGGGAGGTCACCTGGGTCCGTTGTCTTCCTTCTGTACGGTGTTGCGTTTATGTACACAGTATAACACTTCCTGTGTGAGTTCATATACCTGTCTGAGTGCTTTGGTGGATGGAGCCTCAGTACTCTCCAAGGGCATTAAAGTCAAGAACTAGAACCTGGGTGCTGTGCCTTTCTTTTTTGGAGATGTGCGCTCATCCGTTCTCTGACCCCCACTTTGCCGGCAAATATTTTTTATTTCTGCTTAAAATGTAGCATGTTTGGGGATTCCCCACACAACAACACAGGCTCTTCTCTGAGACAAGCAGCTGAACTCCTGCCCTGAAAGGGAGGTGGGCCTCTTGAGGACCATTCCAGAATTACTCTAGCTTCATCTATGTTTCAGGAGGGTGTGAGCCCACCTCAGCCTCGGTAAATCTCTGTCCTCTTCTGTTGGGAGTTCTCCAAGGAAAGAAGAGACTACAGGTGCCGTCACATGTGTGGCTCACAACCACGTCAGGTAGTTCTGAAATAAGTTCCTACTGTCATTCATCACTTCTTTTTCAGTGGGGAAATAGGCAGCTCTAAATTTATGTGAGCCTTTGTGGGTGGTTAAGACCCTTTCTTGAGGAAAATGGACATAAGTTGCCCTTCCTCTTGAAAGCACAGCTTGACACCTTCCTGGCTACTGAGTGTCCTCATCAAGATGCCCCTTGCAGTCACATCACAGATTAACTCAGAAAGGTGAGTTCTGAAGCACTGAGTAGCTTCATATCCTCCAACTGCTTCCCTTAAAGCTCTGATTATTCTGGCTTTTAAACAAAACCACTGCATCATCTGTGCCAAATGTATTCCCTGACCTAATCACTGAGCAGTCACATAATAATAGTACACTGATAATACAGGTTGAAAACAAGTTCACACAGGTATAGTTTCCCCAAGAGAGCTGAGCTAATAAGTGGAAGAGTCAGGATTCAAACCCAGAGCCCCTTTCTGAAACCCTCAGGGGTGTTCAACAGCAGGATCCTCCCTTCCTTTTGGCAGCTCAGTATCCTATCTCTGAGGTCCAGGGCTTCACTCTACCTGACCTTTGGAAAATTTGGAAAGCACATACTCTAGAACAAGTATTAGAAAGTCTTTGTATTTCAGGAAGGGATTCTAGGGGAAAAAAAAAAAAGTTCGTTTTCACACTGCTATAAAGAACTACCTGAGACTGGGTAATTTATAAAGACAAAGGTTTAATTGACTCACAGTTCACATGGCTGGGGAGGCCTCAGGAAAGTTATAATCATGGCAGAAGGCAAAGGAGAAGCAAGTCATGTCTTACATGGTGGCAGGAGAGACAGAGAAAGAGTGGGGAAATGCCACACTTTTAAACTATCAGATCACATGAGAACTGGCCCACTCTCATGAGAACAGCATAGGGGAAATCTGCCTGCGTGATCCAATCACCTCCCTGCTGACGTGGGGATTACGGTTCGACATGAGATTTAGATGGGACAGAGAGCCAAACCACATCAGATGTATAGTCCTTATGTAGCCCCTACGTTCAGTCAGCTATGTGCCCCTCCACTGAAAAGGACCTGATCCTGGCAGATGGCACAGCCCCAGCAGATTTTTGTAATGGTGGTATCCATACTTCTCTCAGTCATTATTAAAACCAAGAAACAGAATCATATAGCAACACAAAACTTGGTCTGACCCTCATTAAAAGAAACTTACAGGTTCAGAGTCCAGTTGAAGAAATCTTTATATCTTCAGTATTTTTGTAGAGATCAGGGTATCCTGAGTAGGCTTAAATCCCTACAATGTGTGAATTTTTATAAATGCCTTGTGGTTCAAGTTTCTCAGCATAGCATCTTCATAACCAACTGTACCTCAGCTGACTCTGCCCCAAGGGCCCATCTGTGTGTGCACACGTTGCAGGTGTTTTACTGTCCCTCTCACCATGTCCTCTCTACCTCTCCCCTCTGTTCGTAACTGTCCTGTCTTTGGCATTTAAAAGCTGGTTGGCCGCTTCAGGCCATGCCTTACCTGGTACCTGTTAGCCAGCTATGACAGTGATGCAGTGCCCAGGACTGTCTGCTTATTCTCTGGCAGGTAGGTATGCTCAGCAGTGATGTTCCTTGTTTTCCAAGTCAGCTTTTACATCTGGCTGCTAGGAAATGGAAAGCATTTTCAGTCTCTACAGCAGAAGCAGCGGAGGGTGCCTGCAGGCTCTACATCCACTTAAGGTAAGGGGGATACACATCCTGAAAGTTCTGTATCTACCTCCACAGCAGCTGCAGAGGGTGCCTGCAGGATCCCACTGAGCACACACACTAGCTCCATCTGTACCAGGAAGGAAGAATCTAATTATTTTGCCTGCCCAGGCACGGTAGTTCACAACTGTTATCCTACAGCACTTTGGGAGGCAGGGCCAGGAACCCATGCCCAGCCTGGGCAACATAGCAAGACCCTGTGTCTAAAAAAAAAAAAAGGTAAAAATATCAGTCAGGCATGGTGGCGTGCACCTGCAGTTCTAGCTACTTGGGAGTCTGAGGTGGGAGGCTCACCTGAGCCCATGAGGTTGAGGTTGCAGTGGGACATGACTGCACCACTGCAGTCCAGCCTTGGTGATAGAGCAAGACCCTGTCTCTAAAATAAAAAGTAAAATAAATAAATATCTTGCCTGGAAACCGAGTTCACCACAAGTGTCCTAACAAAACTACGAACTTCACTCATGAGCTGACCACATCACTGTTAGATGAAATGAGGGTGGCATTATTCATTCAGCCCTCCCAGGAGTCAAGGCAGAATGAAATTGCTTCCAGACATTCAGGGGATATTCCACTCAATTATCTAAGTTTATTCTTCAGAGGCAGCTGTATTTGGAAACTCCCATTGGTCCAGAGAGGCAGAAGAATGAGAAGAAATCCCTCGTCCAGTTACCTGCAGGAATATTCCACCACTTCCACGGGCCAGAGGATTCCACTGGGCTGGGGTTTATGACTTGCTTTTGAACATCCGTCAGCACTATTCTGTTTGCATGGCAATTCTGACCCTTGTACGGCGACAGCACCCCGGGACGACCTGGATTTGCGGATTGAGATCCAAAGGTAGAATTTCCAGACGGTCCAACCAAGGTGTCAGTCAGCATGATAATGGGAAATAAAGTGATGGTTCCAGGCCAAGTGTGATGCCTCATGCCTGTCATCCTAGCAGTTTGGGAGGCTGAGGTGGGGGGATCATGAGGTCAAGAGATTGAGACCATCCTGGCCAACATGGTGAAACCCCGTCTCCACTAATAATACTAAAATTAGCCAGGTGTGGTGGCACATGCCTGTGATCCCGGCTACTTGGGAGGCCGAGGCAGGAGAACTGTATGAACCTGGGAGGCGGAGGTTTCGGTGAGCTAAGATCACGCCACTGCACTCCAGCCTCACAGAGCTGGTTTGTCTCAAAAAAAAAAGAAAAAGAAAAAGAAGGGATGTTTCCAGAGTGGAAGGCTCTCACTGGGGTTTATAAGCAATACTGGCCATTTGTGACCCTATTTCTTTGCCTAATCATCCTGTCTTTTTTGGACATGGGTTTACCTGATCCCTGGCTAAGGATCTAGCATTCCAATAGCTGAAAACCCTGTCTATCTTTTCTCCTATCCTGCTTTACCCCAAGACACACTTAAAGCCCTCGGTAAGGCTATAGAGGGGCGTGAGCATGAGCAGCTGTGAGCAGCCGTCCCTTGTTTCTGTAGCTCCATGATGAGGGGTTGGCTGAGGCTAGCAGTCCTTCTAGGTGTGACAGTTGCAATATAATCAACAGTTTCAAGGTCTAGAGGCACCACCTGAAAGAACCCCTTCAGGGATGTCTATCCACAGCAGCCTGCAGCAGTCGAGTGCACCTGAGATTCTGACCCACACAATGAGGGTAAGTCATTGTTTTTCAAATATTTTGGCTTCAGAAGACACTTCATTACATATGCAAATATTGAGAGATTAACAGAAATTCCAGCTCTTATGCCTGACTGCGAAAAGCCACAGCAAATTGCAGTTAGGTACCCACCTGTAGTGGAGGCCAGCTGACACCCAGAGCACTTCCCCATGTGGACACCAGAGGAGACTATTTCTAATGTCCCAAGAGAGGAAGATGAACTCAGGGGCTGCTCCTCTGCCCAAATGCCATCCCATGTGCAGTCACATGTCACCCATTCAAAATAAAAAAAAATAACATAGAATACTAGGAACCTTGTATCTGACATGTAAGACCAGCCTACACACTGGGCTGGGTGCAGGGGCTCACACCTGTAATCCTAGCACTTTGGAAGGCTGAGGGGGGCCAATTGTTTGATCACAGGAGTTCCAGATCAGCCTGACCAACATGGTGAAATCCTGTCTCTTCAAGAAATACAAAATAAATTAGTTGGGTGTGCTGGCACACACCTGTAGTCCCAGCTACTCAGGAGGCTAAGGTGGGAGGAATGCCTGTGCTCAGGAGGTAGAGGCTGAGTTGTAATCAGGCCGATATACTCCAGGCTGGACAAGAATGAGACCCAGTCTCAAAAAAAAACAGTCTACACCGTCATTATCTCCTTGGGTCATCTGGCCTGTATTGTATTTAGGGTCATTTGTATTAGGTGAAAGAAATCACAGATTAATTTGAATAATTTATTTTATTTTTTTTGAGACAAAGTCTCACACTATCACCCAGTGTAGTGCAGTGGTGCGATCTTGGCTTATTGAAACCTCTGCTTCCCAGGTTCAAGTGATTCTCCTACCTCGGCCTCTCAAGTAGCTGGGATTACAGGCGCCCACCACCATGCCTGGCTAATTTTTTTGTATGTTTAGTAGAGATGGAGTTTCACTACGTTGGCCAGGCTGGTCTCGAACTCCTGACCTCATGATCCTCCCACCTTGGCTTCCCAAAGTGCTAGGATTACAGGCATGGGCCACCGCACCTGCCTATATCTTTAATTAGAGAAGTGAGGATCAGCAAACAAAGGTAGTTATAAAGAAACAGGCAGGTCAAGAAAGGGGCTGGATCAGCCAGGCGCAGTGACTCATGCCCGTAATCCCAGCACTTTGGGAGGCCGAGGTGGGTGGATCACGAGGTCGGGAGATCAGGACCATCCTGGCCAACATGGTGAAACCCCATCTCTACTAAAAATACAAAAATTAGCTGGGCTTGGTGGCATGCACCTGT